CATGTATACTCATGGTTTGAACATTAAAGCACCAATTTGTATGTCAAAAGTAGGAACCTATTTCCAGCTACAAATCTTTCTCTGAACTAATGACTTCGAACCATTCGGCCTTACGACGACTTCGTGGCAACCTCCTCTGTCCGTGGAATAATGACACCATAGCCGCCGTGCTTCCTCTTGTACAGAATGTTGATCTCGCCTGAAAGGGAAATGGAAAGAGGACAGACAGATAGCGGGTGTAGGTAAGGAAACGAGCAAGGCATATTGTAAGCACTAAACCACCACACTGATATTTCCTGGTCAAATCAAGTGAAGGCAGCTTTCCTGGTCAAATCTTGTGTACCTCATCTCACAGACCAATCCCTGCACTTGGTGATAAAACGCACTCCTTCCTGTGTCATTAATCATCGACTCTCTGCTCCTGAAGACATACACGCCATGCTCTGCATTGGCAAGCTGCTACCACAAGCCAAACCTGTCATCCGCTGCACACGCCCCCATGCCACCACTCCTTCCCCGTGCCATCCACACACTCCCCCCCACCCTCTCCTTCCTCCCCCCACTCTGCCATTCACCCAAACTCCCCATTGCACAAGGCGTACAAACCAACATCCACATTCACCCGCTGCCCCGGCCTAGTCAACGGCATACCCTCCTCCGCTCTTCGTGCCCCTCCTCCAATCATCATGCACCCCTTACCCCCGACGCGCCACTCACCCGACTCGTCATGGCCCACGTTCACCAGCTGCTCGAGCGCCTCTTGCTACCCACCCGCCCCTCCCCCTTACCATGTGCGCCGTTCATCTTCCCCCATCCCGCCCTTCCCCCCCCGCCACTCACCTGAGTCGCCGTTGCGGAACGGATAGAAGTAATGGTCCACGGTCACCAGCTTCTGCGCTCCTCCTGCCACCCACTCACCCGCCCCTCCCTCCCCCTTGTGCCATTGACCATCAACCATTCCCCGCGGCAGCACTCACCGGAATCCCCGTTGCGGAAGGCGTAGAAGTCGTGGTCCACGTTCACCAGCTGCTCCAGCGCCTCGTACGTGCTCATGGGGGCCATCTCGAAGTACTTGGTGCGCACCACCTGGGGGGAGGGTAGGCAGGGAAGCAGTAGAGGAAAACGAGAGGTAAACAGTGGGTAGGAGTGTCTCTTGAGTCAGCTCAGCTCGGCTCAGCTTTCACCAGCTGCTCCAGCGCCTCGTACGTGCTCATGGGGGGCATCTCGAAGTACTTGGTGCGCACCACCTGGGGGGAGGGTAGGCAGGGAAGCAGTAGAGGAAAACGAGAGGTAAACAGTGGGTAGGAGTGTCTCTTGAGTCAGCTCAGCTCGGCTCAGCTTTCACCAGCTGCTCCAGCGCCTCGTACGTGCTCATGGGGGGCATCTCGAAGTACTTGGTGCGCACCACCTGAGGGGAGGGAGGGAGGGGGAGGACAGGGAAGGAGGGCAACGGTAGGTGGGGGCAGAGAATTCCATGGTGGGTCGGTGTGTCTCTCAGCTCAGCTCCCTCTGGACGTCCAATGCCTCGTACGCGCTCATGGCGGCTATCCTTCAAGCACTCGATGCGCATCACCAGGGGGTTGAGAACTTGAGAGGTGGGACAGAGGGTGGAGGGGCAGCAGGAGGGCAACGGTCAGGGTGCCGGCTCGGCTGCAAACAGTCTTGCTCGGCAATATCCGGCTTCTCCCCGCCAGCATGTCGCCCAAATTTTGCACGTATCATGCGCGTACGCGTTATAAGCCTTGAATTCTCTCAGTCCGCGCTAGAAGCTGTCGCTCACCTCGTCAGGAAGGTCGCTGGTCTGGCGGTTCAAGATGGGGCTGATGTCAACCGGCGTCTCGAACAGCATCTCGCCCAGCTTCTGCGCGTTCCGCACCTGTCAACCCAACACAGACGTGTACGCGTTACAAGCCGTCTCACCTCATCAGGAAGGTCGCTGGTCTGGCGGTTCAAGATGGGGCTGATGTCAACAGGTGTCTCAGGCAGCATCTCGCCGAGCTTCTGCGCGTTCCGCATCTGCCACGTGCGCCCGTGCCCGCCGTCCTTCTCCTTAATCTTCCGCAGCTTCCGCGAAACCACGTCCGACACCTTGTCGATCGCAGCGTACGCGGATTCCGCCTCTTCCTCCGCCCGCAGAACGCCGTGCTTCTTCGTGAAGATGGTAACCTGGTAACCCGAGGAAGAGAAGGCGAGAATGCTCAGGCGACGACGGACAACGAAAACGATAAGACGCATACGAAATGCTACAGGTTCTGGCAGCAGGCGTCTTGCAGACCTAGCTGCTCCTAACTCACCGGAACCCTAAACCTTCTGATGGCGACAGACGCGACTGAAAGAGGCGAGAAGCGGTAACCAGCACGCAGGGAGAGGTAGACGGATTGGAAGCAAGAACAGGGATGGGTATGGAAATGGAGCTACGTGCAGGCGCCTGCAGGCACTGAGCGGCGTCTCGACATCATGGGGACGGAGAGGAAGAGAACGAGGAGGTGGAGGGGAGTGGGCGTTACCTCGCAGCGCTGCTGGCGCGGGCCCTTGGTGTTGGAGTCGCCGCCGCGCACGGAGAGGCGCACGTCGACCTCGCGGCACAGCGCGCTGTGGTTTTGCACCGCGTGCCCCACCTTCTCCTCCACGTACGCGCGGATCGAATCCGTCAACTGCGCGGGACGCGGACGGGGTTACCGAGGAAGGGGAGGGGAAGAGGGAAGGTGGATGGTGGGGGGGGGGGGGGGGGGGGGTTGGAAGAGGGGAAGGGAAGGGGAAAATAAGATGGGACGGCATGAGAGGTTGCACGAAGTGCGGGGACCTTCTCATCGCCGTCCGTTCGAGATCGCCTGCTCGCCAGCTGCGGATCGGATTCAGGGAAGAACATCTCGATGGCACGAACACCGCTTCATAAGCATCGATTCATGCGGATTCGCACGGCGTGCGGCGCATTGATAGCCGGGTGTGTTTGAACTGAACAGGAAACACAGACGGTGTGTGAGGGACATTGATACCTCGCAAAATCCTGTGTAGGCAGTAAGAGAGCAGAGCGGATGCTCGAAACATTAACGCAAACCTGATTCTTATCGTCTCACGAACACACATTACACAAGCCATCCTATCCTCGGCATATCCGCGTCATCCGCTTACGAACAGCACGCAACCCCATGTGCTTCCGTTGAACAATGAGCCGAACGGTCATACAATTGACTCGGAAATTGAGCAACACGCACCTCCATGTGCTTCCCTTGCACGATGAGTCGCACGGCCGCCAGCGCGCCTCCCCACGCCATGTTCGCCATCGCGCGCCGCCCCGTCAGCTGCGTGCTGCCGATCCGCAGCCGACTCGGACCCGTCGGTGCGACTGTTTGGCATGGCGCCGCCGCAGTTTGCTTCAGGAGGGGGTTGGCGGGAGAAGTGTCGGCGAATCTTCCGAGAAATGCGTTGGGGAGGATGGCTGATACTGCTGGACGGGATGCGGCGATGGATTTGAGCGGTGCGAGCTTCGATGGGATGGCTGACACCGCTGCTCTCGCGACCAGGAGGCTCGACGACGCCATCGTTACTGGCAGATTTAGTGGAGGCAAATGCGAGAGGGACAAGAATTTTTTTTCTCTTGCGGAAAGGGAAATAGGATATTTCCCAACAGGAGCTGGTTAGTGTCTCTGACCTGCCAAATATGTTAGGCTGGGCTGCAATCTCAAGAATCTGAAACAAATGACTAACTGGAACGGACCAGCTTTCAACCTTGATGCGTTTAGCGGGTGGTAGAAACAGCTCCTCATCTTACGGTTCTGTCAGGTATTGTACGTTCACGAATGGCGAATACAAAGCTATGAATGGTTGGGTAAGGTTTTGAGGAGAAACGAGTTTCTACAAGGACCTTGGGATTTGCCGAGAGGTGGGATGCTCCGCTGCGGCGGGGAGAAGTCTGGGGAGGTTGCGGGGGACCAGGGGAAAGCCTCGCAGGGCTCGTGGTGGTAGGTGTGGCGCACCCGCCCCACCATACCCCAAGCCATGTGGTGGGGGGTAGGGGAGGGGAGTGTTACAACAATATCAGGCCAGCAAAGTCGTGCCAGCACTTCCTTTGCCACGACAGTATTTCTGACGTGGGAACGTGAGAGAGGTTGGGGGCTCCGCAAGATGGGTCACACAGATATGATCTGAGCTGGAGGCCTGGGAAAATCACCTCGATAATAAGCAACTCAATATTATCACGAATAATCCATTCCAGCTCTATACTCATCCCACTCGAAATGTAGTGTCCGTGCATCAAACATACCAGCATGATCCCCAGACCCCAAGCAGATTCGGAATCCGTTTTCATTTCAGAAAAAATTAGACTGTGTGACCTCCATTGGTCGAAACGAGTCGCACAATAGCAACTAGTTGCGTGCCTGGGTAGTGACCGAGCGTGAGTCTTCAGCCACCTTAACTGACGCGCAGGTCGAGCGAGATTACCATCCCAGACGCGCAATTCTTCTTGCCTCGCCTGACTCCCTCAACCATGGCGGCCGAAGCAACAGCACCAGCGGCACCTGCGCCGCCAGCAGCGGCGACGGAGCTCGTCGAGTTCCTGAATCGCTCGTGGACCGCCTTCCATGCTGTGGGTACGTACGCGATCGTACGGAAGAGAGAAGAAGAAGAAGGAAAAAAAGGCTTAGTATATGACGGAATCCCTTCAGTTCATTTCGCTCCTGGACCGCCTTTCCTGCTGTAGGTGCGTGCCTCCCACATCGAGGTCTCGCCAGATTTGTTTTGACTGTATTGTTTCCTCCAAATCATTTCGCAGACGAGTGTCGCCAGAGGCTGTTGAAAGCGGGTTACCAGCAGCTGTCGGAACGCGAAGAGTGGCGACTGGAGCCCGGCGGGAAGTACTTCTTCACGCGCAACTACTCCACAATCGCGGCCTTCTCTATCGGGAAAAAGTGAGCGAGGGTGACTGAAAGCCGTACGGTGGGGAGAGACTGTGGCACACCTGTTCCACTGTGCATGCCTGAAGCTGAAAGCAACCATCCATGCCCAGAGGATCACGAAGAAGCAACTCTTTTTACCTCTCCACCCTCCTCCTCCCACTCCCCTCCTGCACCCACCCTCCCCATGACCCCCGGTTCACTAGGTTCAAGCCAGGAAATGCCTTCTAGATCATTGAGGCCCACACGGACAGCCCGTGCCTCAAGTTAAAGCCCAACAGCAAGGCGAGGTTTCTGTCTGAGGCCGTGCAGACGCAACTTCCCTTACCCCACCTCACTCCTCCCCACTCCTCTCCTCGCCCAAATACACACCCCAGGTTCAAGCCGGGAAACGCGTTCTGGATCATTGGGGCGCACACGGACAGCCCGTGCCTCAAGTTAAAGCCCAACAGCAAGGCGAGCAAGGCGGGGTTCCTGTCCGTGGCCGTGCAGACGTACGGAGGGGGCCTGTGGCACACATGGTTCGACCGTGACCTTGGGATTGCCGGCCGGGTCATCCTCCGCCACGTGGAGGGCGAGGAGGGGGGAGAAGGGGGGGCAGGGGAGGGAGGCGGGGAGGGAGGGAAGACGCAGTCGGTGGCGCGGGTGCGGTTGGAGCATCGGCTGGTGCAGATAGATCGGCCCATAATGCGCATACCCACGCTCGCCATTCACCTTGACAGGTGAGGCCCGGTGGACTGACTCTGTCTTGAGTCGACTGGAGGGGTTGTGTGGGGTTCTGACTGGGTCAACTAAGAAGGCAGTGTCGGCTGGAGCATCGGTTGGTGCAGATAGATCGGCCCATAGTGCGCATACCCACGCTCGCCATTCACCTTGACAGGTGAGGCCCGGTGGGGCTGTATTGAGTCGACTGGAGGGGCTGTGTGGGCCTAGAGTCGACCTTCGTCCGCTCTATTGCTGCTCCTCCTCCGCTGCTCCTCTCTTCCTTCCACTTAACTCCCACGTGCCTATTGCCTCACTTACCCTGTTCCTTTCACTCACAGGGAGGTGAACACGAGTGGGTTCAAGCCCAACACTCAGACGCACCTGCTGCCTGTGCTCGCCACTGCCATCAAGGTCCGTGCTTCCTCCCAAATCCTCCTCCTCCCACTCCTCCTCCTCCTCCTCCTCCTCCTCCTCCTCCTCCTCCTCCTCCTCCTCCTCCTCCTCATCCTCCTCCTCCTCCTCCTCCTCATCCTTCTCCTCGTCCCCCCCCTCCTCCTTCTCCTTCACTGTACACATTTGAACTATAAATGCAGGTGCCTAAATAACAAACTCCATGCACACACACACCCGCGTCGCACCAGTTTCACTGCACCTTTGAACTATTCGCCACGCATATTCTCCCCTCACCCGAGTGCTCGCCTCACATATGCGCCTTACTGCATTCGCCCTGCTGTGCGTGCCACAGGAGGAGCTGAACCGACCAGCCCCTGCGAGTGAGAATAGCTCCAAGGAGGGCGAGGCGAAGGAGAAGGGCAAGGGGAAGAAGGAGGAGGCCGCTGAGAGGCACCACCCCTTGCTTCTGCAGGTGAGTGGGTTCAAGCCCTTGTGATGATCATAATTCTCGCTCCTTATGCACAAGCTTTCACCTCACCACCTGTTTTTGAGTCGACTCAAAAGCACTTCACCACCTGTTGCGCGATTCCCGTCATCACTGTCCCATCCTGCTCTCATGGTCCTCCCCCCCCTTTCTCCTCCTGATCCTCTCCCCACACGTACCCACGCCCCCTTCAACCAGCTCCTGGCGTCCGAGCTAGGCTGCTCCCCAGCAGCCATAGCGGATTTCGAACTCGACCTACAGCTGTGCGACACACACCCCAGCGCCATTGCTGGTGCATGCATGCATAACCTTTTCCCCCTCTCCACCTCTCCTCTCCCCCATCCCCTTCTCCAGCTCCTGGCATCGGAGCTGGGCTGCTCGCCAGCAGCCATAGCGGATTTCGACCTGCAGCTGTGCGACACTCACCCCAGCACCATCGCCGGTGCTCTCAACGAGTTCATCTTCTCTGGCCGCCTCGACAACCTCGCCTCCTCCTTCGCTGCCCTGCAGGTCCGTGGTCAAATTGGTTTTGTTCACCTTCCTAAGGGCGTGTAACTTTTTCCATTTCTGACCGTCCGGACGGCTCATCGTCCAGACTTTTGTAGGGTTACTGTGTTCGTCAATTGTCGCTTTGTTTTTTTTATTGGTAAACGGATTATGCCGAATCAGGTAACCCTAAAAAAGTCCGGACGGTGAGCCGTCCGGACGGTCAGAAAGAGAAAAAGTTACACGCCCTAAGTCACACACACACACTGTATGTGCACCACCACATGGACACAGCATGCACGTTGCTTGCATCATAAGCCACACCACACTCACTGTTTGCCACTGCTGCGCTTTCTCTACCCTCCTCCGTCACACATCAATCGTTCCCCACCAGCCGTTGCTGACAGTAGGAGAAGAAGAACGCAGGTCAGAGGAGGCCGAGAGTGGGGTTGCGTATGGTGCTGCTGCTGGTTGCCCTTGACACCTGCCTCCCTGCCTGCCTGCCTTGGATCCCCTCCTCCCTACAGGCACTACTGGCGGCAGGAGACGCAGAGAGTGAGGAGGCGGAGGGTAGCGTGCGAATGGTGTTGTTCTTTGACGATGAGGAGTGCGGCAGTGACTCTTGATGGCCTATCAACCCCACCTCCCTCCCTTCCCTCCTTCCTCCTCTTTCCTGCAGGCACTGCTAGCGGCCGGGGAGGGGGAAATCGAGAGTGAGGAGGCGGAGGGAGGAGTGCGCATGGTGTTGCTGTTTGACAACGAGGAGTGCGGCAGCGACTCCGCTCAGGGCGCCGGCTCCCCTCTGCTGCTCGACGCCATTCGCCGCGTCAATGCTGCCTGCACTAGCAATGCTGCTGGTGCATCAGAGGTGAGATTACAGCTGCTGCTGCTGCCGGCACCGCCACCACCGCCACTGCTATGCCATGTCATGCCAGGCTGTGCCTTGCCGTTACACTCCATGCCATTCCATGCCGTGCGATCCCATGCCATCCCATCCCATACCACTGCACCCCACTCCATCCCACCCCACCTGACCCCACCCCACCACATGGCAGGGAGTGGTGGAGCGATCTCTGCAGAAGAGCTTTGTGGTATCAGCAGACATGGCGCACTGCCACCACCCCAACTACCCCGTCAGTACCCTCCCCTCCCTATCCCAAGCCTCCGTCCCAAGCCTGGTGTCCCAAGCCTCCACCCCTAGCCTCCCTCCCTAGCCTGTCTCCTTAGCCTCCCTCCCTAACCGCTTCAGACGTTTCTAATATTTTTCCTCTGTCACTGGTTGTAGCAGACATGCCGCACTGCCACCACCCCGACTACCCCGTCAGTGCCCTCATGAGCCTTCCTCGTCTTTGCACTGTCTCTTTGCACACAAGTGAGTTGCATCATCACGTGATAAAAGAGATGTTTTGAGACGTCTCAAAGCATCATCATGGCCCCAACCCCCGCCACCCCTCCTCCCTCGTCCAAGCAGGAGAGGCACGAGGAGCTACATCAGCCCAAGACGCACAAGGGGTTGGTGACCAAGCACAACGCTATTTCCATTCACCTGCACCCGTACCTTGCCACACCCCCCCCCCTCCATTCAACAGGAGAGGCACGAGGAGCTACACCAGCCGAAGATGCACAAGGGGTTGGTGATCAAGCACAACGCCAACCAGCGCTACGCCACCACTGCTGTCACCGCTGCTCTCTTCCGCGAGGTCGCCACGTGTCATGGCATTCCCGTGCAGGTGAGCAGGAGCATCCCATGGTTTTTGAGGCGCCTCGAAAAGAGCAAGGCAGGCTTTTCCATGATTCTTTAGGCGCCTTCAAAGGGCGGGGATATCAATGTTTAGTCGTCTACAAAAAAAAAGTAGCGGTAGCAACTCCAACTGCAAAAGTAACGCAGCGAAGGGTGACGTGGCAGGAAAGGCCAAGGCTTTTTTCATAGTTGTTGGGGATTGAGGGTTTGCAACTAAGGGAAAAGTGTTGACTTTACCTGCCGCGTTGCCCTTCGCTGTGTCACTCTTGCGATCGGAGTTTCTGCCATTACTGTCGCCGCTGTTTCTGATTCTGTTGCTGTTGCTGTCGATGTTGCTGCTTCTCCTGTCATCTTCCCACGATGCAATTGTCCAATCCGTTGCATGAACCATTACCCTCACTTAGTCTCTTGCCCGCTTCACCCTCACCCTTCCCCCCTTCAGGACTTGGTACTGGTAGTTTGTAAAGGGCAACAGCATTTCCCTGACCTCTCAAGACACGTCACCCCTCACTGGTGCCCCACTTGAAACTGCCCTTCCCCTCCTCTCCCCACCCTCGCCACCTCCCTTTCCCGTGCCTCCCCCCTCCCTCCCTTCATCAGGACTTTGTGGTGCGCAACGACACGGGGTGTGGCAGCACCATCGGCCCCATCCTCGCCTCAGGGGCGGGCATTCGCACTGTAGACGTGGGTGCGCCTCAGCTGTCTATGCACAGCATTAGGGAGATGTGTGGCACGGATGACATCAGGCACATGATGAACCACTTCACGGCTTTCTTCAACGATTTCCCCTCTCTCGATGCTCTCCTTGCCGTGGACTAGAGGGTGAGGTGGAGGCGGGGATGAGGGGTGGGGCTGCAGTATGGGCATACACTTACCGATGCACAGCATTCGGGAGATGTGTGGCACGGATGACATCGGGCACATGGTGAACCACTTCACGGCTTTCTTCAAAGATTTCCCTGCCTTGGATGCTAGTCTTACCGTGGACTAGAGCAAAGGGGGGGGGGGCAGCATGAGGGGTGCAGCTATTGTGTCGATATGATGCACAGCAATCGGGAGATGTGTGGCTGGCACGGACGGCATCGGGCACATGCATTCTGCCAAAACTTTTGAGGCGCCTCAAAAGTCGGCATCGGGCACATGCATTCTGCCAAAACTTCACCCTCTTGGATGCTCTCTGCATAGAGCTTACACGCAGTGGAGTGGATTAGTTGGTGCGCAGGGCAACAACAACAGACTTTCAAGGTTCGCAACTATTTGAGGCGCCTCCAGTGTGCGGGGCAGCAAAAGACTTGCAAAGCTAGCACAAATCAAACAGTGTCCTGTCAGCTTTGGGCTCACGAAAAGAAAACTCCATGCTACAACTCAGTGTATCAGCGTAACGGTCAACAACAGTGCAAGAGTAAAAAGCAAATATGTGGATGTCAAATACGTAGGTGTCATGCTACCGTACTACCGAGCAGTAATAATACCATATACCATCTACCAAAACCAGATGCGAATTATTCCATGTACCACCACAATCAGATCCTGATCTGTGCCAACCAACCCCAACCAGATTAGCTGGTGCATAGAACCTCGCTCCACCACACCCACCCATCCTACACCCACACCCACACGCCCACCCCAAAGCACTTCCTCACCAAATACCCCAACATGTCACCCACCCACGCCAAGATATGATCACGCAAAGATTCCTTTACTCCCTCTGACCCTATCCACGAGAACCTTATGAAGATGGTCAGTAAGCAGCACCCCCTGATTCCATCGCCCAACTGCCCCACTCCTCCCCACCCCAACCCCTTTGGCCCATGCCTAATCCATCTCACTTGCAGCAGCAACCCTCCTATTTGAACGCCTAACCAGCCACGTCTCTTCCTTTCTGGTCACGCTATGACGCTTCTTCCCCCTATTGCCGAAACAAAAAATCTCTCACTTACGAGCAGCAGCCCGCCTAGCAACACTCAACCGCTTGGCACTCCACTCGTCCGCCTATGTGACAGCCTATGTGACCCAGGCAAGGACCATCTTTCACTTATCAGTAGCAGCCGCCCTCCTACTCGACCGAGGTGACTTCCAAGTCAACTCTAAAGTCACTCCCACGTTTGACCAAGGCAAGTACCACCTTTTACTTATCAGCAGCAGCCCTCCGACTCGACCGCCTGACCACTCCACTTGCTTCCCCTGCAGCCCTACCCCCTCGCCCCCTGCCAGCCCCCCCTGTGGCTCCCCTACCTCCTCTCTTCAAAGGGCTATTTTCTGTCCCCCCTCTACCTCCCCTCTTCATAGGACTTGCCCCTGTCCCCCCCACTGTCCCCCCTCTACCCCCTCTCTTCAAAGGACTTGCCCCTCCTCTCCCCCTGCCTCCTCGCTTCACAGGACTCGCTAACCCTCTTGCCCCCTTCCCCCTTCCTACAGGATGGGTCTCCCCGCTTTCAACCGCTCTCGCTTTCGCCCCTTGGCCCCTACCCCTTCTCTGCCTTCCTCCCTGCTCCGCTTTCTTCTCTTCCTCTTCCACCTCTACCTCCTCCTCTTCCTCCTCACTTTCAATATCAACCACCTTCTCCTCTTCCTCCTTGTCCTCTGATGCAAGGTCAACCATCTCTCCCTTCGCCCCCACCTCCTCCACCCCCTCATCCTCCTCCTCTTCCTCCTCTTCCTCATCTCCCCCCTCCTCCACCTCCACTACCGTTCTCCCCTTCCCTCCACGCACCCGCCCACGCCCTCTCAACCGCACCCCTCTCCCCCGTCCGCCTCCCCGTGCCGCTACCACATCAATTTTCCTCCTTCCTCCCCCACCCCTAATTAGAGACAGCATCCCTCCTCCCCGTGATGCTATCACATCACTCTTGCTCCGTCCCGCGCTCCTTCCTGGCGTCCGCCTCAGCCCCCCCCCCGGGGTAACAACCACAAACCCCACGTGTCGATCGCCCGACTCTCCTTTCCTCCCGCCTCTCAGCGCACTCACAAGACCGCCCCTCCCGCTTCCTCCTCCCCTCCCGCTTCCTCCTCCCCTCCCGCTTCCTCTGCCCCTGACCTTCACTCCACCCCTTGCTCTTGCACCAGTCCGTCCACTCCCTGAAGCAACACCAGCAGCCTCCTCAGATGACGCAGCAGCAGCAGCAGCAGCAGCAGCATCAGTGGCAGCAGTGGCAGCAGTGGCAGCAGGGGTAGCAGGGGTAGCAGGGGTAGCTGCAGGAGGAGGGGTAGAAGCTGCAATTGCTCTCTTCACCCGGGTCTTCTTTGAAGCATCACCAGCAGCAGGAGCGCGGGCAGGAGTCACAACCAGCTCAACCCCTCCATCCTCTTCATCCTCCGCCTCCTTTAGCTTCTCATCGGCTCTTGCTGCTGCTGATCCAGCTGCACGTGCAGTGAGTGCATTCAGAGACGCAAATGTGGTTGCTGCTGCACCCCGTCGTCTTGTCTTCCGCGCTCCTCCCACACTGCTTGCACCCACATCCGCCTCAGGCACATTTACCTTCCCCGCATCTGCCTTTTCTGCACCCGCCTTCCCTGCTCCTCTCCTTCGACCGCCAGCTTCCTTTTCTGCAGGCTGTGCAGCGCCTCTCCTTGCCCGCCCCACTGCCCTGCCTCGACTGCTCCTGGTGCTGGCCACTTCCACCACCTCCATTTCATCATCAGCAGCGGCAGCAGGGGAGGCACGGGCAGCAGGGGAAGCAGGGGCAGCAGCAGAAGGGGCAGCGGCAGCTGCAGCAGGGGCAGGGCTAGTGGCCACACCAGGTCCTCCCCGACGCCTTCTCTTGCCCGCACCACTCTCTTCGTCCTCTCCCTTACTCGCTTCCGCAGCCTCCCCTGTCTCTCCAGCACCCCTTTTCCTGCCCCGCCTTGCTCCTGCTGCTGTTGCCTTGTCACTCTCGTCTGCGGCTGCAGCAGACAGTGCCTCAACTGCCGCTGCTGCTGGCACTGCTGCTGCTGCTGCTGCTGCTCGTGTTGCCCTCGTCCCTGCCCCTCTCCCCCCTCGCCCTCTCCTTCCTCTTCCACCCCTTCCACCCCCACGCCCACCAGATACCCCTGCATCCACTTTCCCCACCTCTTGAACCCCCTCCCCTTCTTTCCCTGCCTCAGCTGATCCCTCCTCTTTCGCCTCTCCCTCCTCTCCCACCACTTGCACCTCTTCCTCCTCTTCTTCCTCGTCCACTACAGTTGCTGCTGCTGGCTCGGTTGCTTTCTTTATTCCTCGTGTTGCCCTAGTCCCTACCCCTCTCCCCCCTCGCCCTCCCCTTCCTCGTCCGCCCCTTCCACCCCTCCGACCACCAGAAACCCCTGCTTCCACTTCCCCCACCTCTACTGCCCCCACCTCTCCCACCACTTGCACTTTTTCGCCCTCTTCCTCCTCCCCCAACGCCATCACTTCTGCTGCCACAGTTGCCGCTGGCTCAGTTGTATTCTTTACCCCTCTCCCCCCTCGCAATCTCCCCCCTCGCAATCTCCCCCCTCGCAATCTCCCCCCCCGCAATCTCCTCCCTCGTCCACCCCTTCCACGCCCACACCCACCAGAAACCCCAGCGTCCAAGTTCCCCACCTCTTCAACCCCCTCCACAGCTCGTCCAACTGCTCCCTCCTCTTCCGAGTCTCCCTCCTCTCCCAGCACTTGCACCTCCTCCTCCTCTTCCTCCTCGTCCGCCACAGTTGCTGCTGCAGCTGGCTCAGTTGCTTTCTTTGCTCCTCGTGCCCTCATTCCTGCTCCTCTTCCCCCTCGCCCTCTCCTTCCTCTTCCTCCCCTCCCACCACCAGGCACAGGAGTCCCCACTGCTTGCACTTCCACCTCTTCTCGCACATCTCCCACCTCTTCCACTCCCTCTAAAGACTTTCTTCCTCTTCTTCCTCTTCCTCCCCTCCCACGACCAGACGCAGGGGACCTTACTGCTTCCACTCCCACTTCCACCTCCTCTTCTCGAACATCTCCCACCTCTGCCACTCCCTCTGAAACCTTTCTTCCTCTGCCTCCCCTTCCTCCTCTTCCTCCCCTTCCTCCCCTTCGACCACTGCGCCCACCAGACCCCTTTCCGTCCCCTTCCACTGCCCCTTCCTGCACATCTGCCACGACTGCCACTCCCTGCATCGCCCTCCTTCCTCGCACTGGTTGCACCTCACTCACCAATACCACTGCCTCCTCCTCTTCTTCCTCCTCTTCCTCCTCTTCCACTTCCACTACCATCACATGCGCTGTTTCTGCCCCCCTTCTGCTCGCCCTTGCCGCTCTGGTTGCTGCTACTGCTGATGCTGGTGCAGTAGCTGCTGCCTTCCTACCCCTCCTGGTTCGACCCACACTTTCCGTCTCCCCCGCACTTCCACCAGCAGCACCAGGAGTCCCAGCAGCAGCAGGAGATCCACCAGCAACAAGAGCAGCAACAGCAGCTACACGAGTCACCCTGCGCCTCTTCCCTTCAGGCTGCTCCTTCACGTCTCCTCGCTTCCCTGCCCCACCTCTTTGGCCTTTATCCCCAACTTCCTCCTCCACCTGCTCGGCCTCCTCCTCCCTCTCCAGTGCTCTGCGCTTTGACCTCAGGGGCCTTGCCTCGGGTATTCCCGAGGCACCAGCAGGGCGGGCGGAAGCAGGAGAAGCAGAGGCTGCAGCAGCAGGAGAGGCATCAGCAGGGCCGGCAGCAGCTTTGCGTGAGCCCCTGGTCTTCCTCCCCTTGCTGTGTCCTTTCTCAGGTGCTTCTTCAGGTGATTTGGGAGAGGCCTTGGCAGGCGATGCAGACGTGGACGCACTGGTTGATTTGGGGGCGAACCTGCTTGAGCTTCTGTAAGGTGACTTGGCAGGGGATTTGACTGGTGAGTAGGCAGGTGAATTGGCAGGGGAATTGGCGGGTGATTTAGCAGGGGTAGTGGCAGGTGACTTGGCAGGTGATTTAGCAGGGGTAGTGGCAGGTGACTTGGCAGGTGACTCGGCAGGTGACTCGGCAGGTGACTTGGCAGGTGACTTGGCAGGTGACTTGGCAGGGGTTGTGGCAGGTGACGTGGCAGGTGTCGTGGCAAGAGACTCAGCAGGCAACCCTGCCGATGCTACCAGCACAGAAGCCCCACTCCTTCCTGCACCCATGCTCGACCGCCTGGGAGTGACTGACGACTTTCGGGGCCTCCCAGGTGTCGCCTGCGAGGGAGTGACTGACAGCCTATCACTCACCCGTGGACGGCGCGTTGGGGGAGTGGAGGCAGCAGGAGAGGCGAGAGGAGGTGGAGGGGAAGGAGCAGTGGGAGTGGGGCGGGGAGGCGGAGTGGAGGCAGGGGAGAGGCGCTTGGCTTCCACTGACAGCCGCCTGGTTAGCACTCGGGGCTTTGCCACTGCTGTGAGTGCGTGGCGGGAAGCCATGCCACGGGAAAGAGGGTTCTGGGAGTGGATGGGGCGGAGAGAACGGGAAGGAAAGAGAATGTGAGTTAGAGTGGGAGTGCCATGGAGCCGCCTGGCGAGCAGCACTCGGGGCTTTGCCACTGCTGTGAGCGCGTGGCGGGAGGACAGGCGGACCGGTGACCTGCCTCGGGAAAGAGGGGTCTGAGAGAGCGAGAAAGGGACAGGGACAAAAGGAGGCGAGGGGAAGAGGACATGAGTTACGGGAGTGGAAGTAGGATACGGTCTTCTTAATCAGTAGCTTTTACCTTCACAGCAAAACGCAGATATATCAGTCAATGAGTTTCACCTTCACAGAACGATGCAGTCTTCTCAATCACTCACTTTTACTCTCCCTGGCGTTGCTGCTGTAGCTGCCTTAGCTGCCCCTCCTGCTCTGCCTGGTGTCGCTGCTTTGCCTGGTGTCCCTGTCTTGCCCAGTGTCCCCGCTTTGCCCGGTGTTGCTGCTCCACCCTGTACCCTCTGCCCCCCCAGCATGAGCCTCACTGGTGTCACCCCCACGCCCTCAGACACACGCCTCGAAAAACTCTTGCTCTTCCTCTTCCCGATTCCTGTTGCCGCCCGCCCCACACCCCCTCCCACCCGCCCCATAACCCCGACACCCCCTGTCGCCCCTCTGCCGCCCCGCCTGACCGGCGTCACCCACTTCACCGCCCCTGCTCTCCTCCCTGCTCCTGCCGCCCGCCTGCCCGTCCCTATCATGGCATCCCAAGCACCCCCAATAGCAGCCTTGGCAGCATCCGCCTTTGCAGCGTTACGCCCCACACTGCTACTACTACCCACGGACTGACTCCCAAGGGACCGTCTCTTAGCAGCACTGCCGCCCTCTGCTGCTGCCTCGGCCTGTCTCTTTCTTGGTGTCACCTTGTCATAACTGAGCCGTGGGCTCTTGGCACGACTCGTTTCAGGGATCTTAGCAGCGCTCCTCCTAAGAGGGATCCTACCAGGGCTTTTGACAGTGCTTTTAAGAGGGATCTTAGCAGCGCTCCTCCTAAGAGGGATCCTAACAGGGCTTTTGACAGTGCTTTTAAGAGGGGTCTTGGCAGGGCTTTTAGCAGTGCTCTTACCATGGGACTTAGCAGTACTCGTGACGGGGCTCTTGCGAGGGGTTCTGGTAAGGCTCTTAGCAAGGGACACAGGAGGAGTCTTAGCAGGGGACACAGGAGGAGTCCTAGCAGGGCCCTTAGCGGCGCCCCTGGCAGTCCTCCTGGTAGAAGGCGTACTAACAGCACCCTTACGAGGGGTTCTGCTGGGGCTTTTAGCAGGGTACTTAGCAGGGTACTTAGAAGGGCTCTTAGCAGGGCTCTTAGCAGGGCTCTTAGCAGGGCTCTTAGCAGGGCTCTTAGCAGGGGACTTAGCAGGGCTCCTAACAGGACTCTTAACAGCACTCGTAGCAGGGGTCTTAGCACCCCGCTTAGAAGGGGTCTTAGCAGGGCTCTTCACAAGCCCTTCAATAGGGCTTGTGGCAGCGCTTGTAGCAGCAGCCGGGCTCTTAGCTTCAGGCGTCGTGACCTTCTGCCCGCCACGAGCAGGGCTCTTGGTTACAGCAGTCTTGGTTACACGTGTTCTGGTTACCACAGCAGTGGTACTTGGAGACTTGACTCGGCGAATCTTGGCTTTTGGGCCAGCAGTGGCAGCTCGTCGCCTTGAGACTGCCACTGGCTTTGCTGCGAGTGGCGTTGCTGCTGGTGGTGTTGCCGCTGCTGGGGTTGCCGCTGCTGGCGTTGCCGCTGCTGGCGTTGCCGCTGCTGGCGTTGCTGACGGCACTCTTGCTGCTGCGTTAATCCCAGAGAAGGGTGATGCTGAGGCTGGTACAAACCCAGCAGGCGTAACAGGCGAGCCTGGTGTGATCAGCCCACCAGACGCGGTTACCCCACCAGGTGTGGTTGGAGTGCCAGGCAAAGCACCATCACCCGCTGCACCAACACTCTCAGCCTTTTCTCCATCCTCTGCTGCCGCCGTGCCAACACCGCCCGCTGCCAGCCGCTGCTCCGCTTCCCCTACCTGCCCCTGCCCTTCCGCCTTGCCCTCACGCGCCACTTCCGCCCCTCCTTCCACTCCCTCTCCCCCTTCCGCGGTGCCCTCTGCCCCTTTGAAGGCCCCTTCTCCCCTTTCCATCCCCGCCATGCCTTCAACAAACACTGGCTCCTCTACCTCACTGAAGAACGCCTGCCGTTTCTGCTGCCGCCTGAGGGACGTGGATCAGAGATGTACAGAGCGGTATGATTTATTTAATTATTTATATATATATATATATAACTAAACAGCAAACACACATTCTTATATATATAAGAGTGCCTGGCACTCCTGCTGTGGCCTGCAAGACATGAACAGGAGAGATACGAAGATGGCTACTTTCAAATTGAATCAAATGTAAACAGGTGCTAGACACGCCATCACTGGAGAACGCCCCAATGCTTCCCGATGTCTCACATTTCACCCCACCCCATCGCATCCCACCTCACCCCATCGCATCCCACCTCACCCCATCGCATCCCACCTCACCCCATCGCATCCCACCACACCCCATCCCATCCCCTGTCACACCATCTCACCAAGAATCAACTTCCGCAGCAGCTGCCTTCTCTTCCTCTTGCCCCACCAGCAGTGCCACCACCTCTCCCTCCTCCAAATCCTCCAAGTCCCCATCCTCGTACCGAACCTTGTACCACCCCTCCTCCCGGTCGTACTTAAACACCCGACCCAGTAACACCACGTCGCCGAACCTCTTCCGAACCAGTTTGCCCAGGTACGGCGCGGCAGAGGGAGGGAGAGGAGTGGGAGCAGGAGAAGGAGTGCGAGTGGGAGCGGCAGGAGGGGTGGGAGTGGGAGCAGCAGGAGGGGTGGGAGCGGGAGCAGCAGGAGGGGTGGGAGCGGGAGCAGCAGGAGGGGTGGGAGCGGGAGCAGCAGGAGGGGTGAGAGTGGCAGCGGCAGGAGGGGTGAGAGAGGCAGCGGCAGGAGGGGTGGGAGTGGTAGCTGTAGGAGGGATGGTAGTGGCAGCGGCAGGAAGCGGCAAGGCTGAGGGAGTAGTGACGCCGTCCGCTGCAGGTGCAGGAGTGGCGAGGAAGATTGCAGGAATGGCGGGAGAGGCAGCGGGAGGAGAGGTTGGAGTGGCAGCGGAAGGAGGGGTGGGAGTGGCAGCGGAAGGAGGGGTGGGAGTGGTAGCGGAAGGAGGGGTGGGAGTGGCAGCGGAAGGAGGGGTGGGAGTGGCAGCGGAAGGAGGGGTGGGAGTGGCAGCGGAAGGAGGGGTGGGAGTGGCAGCGGAAGGAGGGGTGGGAGTGGCAGCGGAAGGAGGGGTGGGAGTGGCAGCGGAAGGAGGGGTGAGAGTGGCAGCGGAAGGAGGGGTGGGAGTGGCAGCGGAAGGAGGGGTGGGAGTGGCAGCGGAAGGAGGGGTGGGAGTGGCAGCGGAAGGAAGTGGCGAGGCTAAGGGAGTGGTGACGCCGTCCGCTGCAGGTGCAGGAGTGGCGAAGAGGATTGCAGGAGTGGTGGCGGGGGTGGCAGCAGGAGTGGCTGAGGGGGTGGCAGCAGGAGAGGTGGTGGCTGTTGCGTTCGGGGTGTCAGCAGGAGTGCAAACGGCTGTAGCAGGGGTGCTGACGGCTGTAGCAGGAGTGCTGATGCCTGTACCAGGAGTGTTGACGGTCGTCGAAGGTGTGCTGACGCCTGTCGCAGGTGTTTCGAAGTCTAAATCATCAAACGTTAGAGCATCCGGAGCACTAGGCGTAGAAGCAGCAGCGTCAGCATCGGCCCCAGCAGGTGTCCCGGGCGGGACGCGAGCGGCTGAGGGCGAGCGCGCATCAGGCGGGGTGGGACGCGGCGTGCGTGGAAGGTTGGAGCTGCGACCACGGGGATCATCACCGCCACCTTTACCATCACCAGCGGCGGCAGCAACTCCATTGCCGACAGTCTCCCCACCTACCTGTGCGGATCCCTGACCCTCCCGGGAAGCTTGATCCGCCTCGGTTTCTGCTTCTGCTGTCGTTTCCTGCCGCTCCTCTCCGCCGCTCTCTTTGTCTTTGACGGAAGTCCCACCTACTGCGCCCACCCTCCCGTCGCCGTCTCCCTGCCCTTGCGCCTCGCCTGGCGTCGTTCCAACCTCTTCCCCACTCCCCCCCGCGGCCGTTCCCGGCTCTGCCTCTTCCCGTGCCGTGTCAGGAACCAACAGTGCTTCTTCTCGTGGCGTTCCGCTGGCCGGTTGCGAAGCGCCGCCTGCTTCTTCCTCCGCTTTGGCTTCTTCATTATTAAGGAGTCCAGTTACAGGGAGTTCGTCCTCAGAAGCGGCTGCCGTCCCCGTTATTGCATCGTCATGTAAAACGTGCTGGTCAGAAGCTTGTACATGGTTATTCGGCGATTCAGCTGGTATTTGGAGAGCAGCGGGGTCAGATGCACGAACGGAATCGCCAGCCGCGTCAGTCACGTCAGCGTCAGCAGCATCAGCATCAGCGTCACCATCAGATATGTCCCAGGGGTTACCTTGGTCAGAACGATTAGCAGCGGTAACGGCATCACCGTCGGCATTTGCCACGTCAGTGATATTATCCACAGTGTCGCCATTGGCTGTAACCACCGGAGGGTTGGTCCACGTGGCGCCACCTCCTAGCAGGTCGTCAGGAAGAGTGGGAGTGCCGAACACGTCATCTGTCGGTAACTCGGCACCCTGGGTCTGTGCCAGACCGCTAGAAAGACCGCCGGGTATTATTTCCGGGAAATCAGCTGCTTTCGAGAACGGGTCTAGGCTTTGAAAATAGGCGTCCTGCTCGCCTGTGCCTTCGGGATTTTCGGACCCGCCTTCCATTATGACTCACTCCTGTTTTGCGGAAAGGAAACTGGAGTGAAGAATAGTCAAGAAAAAAACCTTTCGGATTAGTCTCAGGATTTTATATTCCAACCGCAGCTCAAGCTCCTCGGTCAAGCGCTGCCGTACGATCAAGAAGCGCACGAGGAGCGCACAAAAGACCGATCGGAAAACGTAAGAGCTGATAGGTAGAAGGAAGCGGAGATCTGGCAATGTTGTCTCTTGAGAAAATAATTCTGGACATGGGGTTTCCAGCAGCAAGCAAGCAAGCAGCCTCTCAATTCAACGTTGAGAGCACTTGGCGACCCAGCAGGTTGCGAGGGTATTGGCGGTCTCGCCAAGACATGCACCAAAGTTTTTTATAACCAGCTCGACCAGGGTAGTATCATCGAAGAGCTTTCCGTAATTCACGTTCTTATCGAACGGACAATGAAGCGTACCTTGCCTCCGAGCCGAACGTAAGTTCTCATTTGGCCGAGCCTCTGACGAAAACCAGATCTGTCAGGCGGTAGCAGTTCTTGCCCCAGAAAATGAAGTTTGCTGTAAAGTGATTCGACACAGTTTGTAGCTAATAAGCACCACCCCATACAACCTACATCGGAAAAAATCCCGTTTCGTAGTTCTCGCGAGCCAAAACCTACCCCGAACAAAAGCACCCTCTGCCCACTCTGCTTGGATTTGCGTCTCGACATCCATAACCTAGGTCATCCATAGAGCTGCTGTCGTGTCGCCATCGCCTGCCACGGATGCATCTCGCGAGGGTGCTCTCCGCCACGTGTCGCAATGCGTTGAAGCAGCGCAGCACCGTGGCTTTACCGCCATCGCTGCCCGTATCACTGCAGCAGCAGCGGCGGCACCAGAGCGGGCAGCAGAGCGGGCAGCAGAGCGAGCAGCAGAGCGGCCTCGCGGATTTCTTCGAACAGGGTCGCACGCCCGACGCGCCCGTCACTACCGGTAGGGCTCACCGCCGTTGGGGATCACCATCGGCAGCATTTACTTAACGAGTCGTGGGGCCTACTACTTGTCCGTCTGTATTTCAACGATCTGTAGGGTCTCAGGTCTGTGCGACTGACGCGAAGCGTGCGGCGTGCGACGACAGGTAGAGCAATCGCTTCGTCCGTCCACCACACCTGCTTTCACCATCCCGTTCCCATTTCCCTTCCCATTCCCATTTCCCTTCCCAATTCCTTTCCGAACACACAGGGCGCGGGTGGCAGGCGTGGGAGCTGCGGCACAAGTCGTTCGAGGACCCGTTTCCACCCCACCGCACCCTCCCATACCCCTTTCTTTCCCCACAGGGCGCGGGTGGCAGGCGTGGGAGCTGCGGCACAAGTCGTTCGAGGACCTACACGGGCTGTGGTACGTGCTGCTCAAGGAGAAGAACCTGCTCTACTCGCAGAAGCAGATGCTGCAGTCGCAGGGCCGCCGCATGGTGCAGCCCCACCGCATCCGCCTCGTGAGTTCCCTTGCGCTCTTTACCCCGGCCTTGCAAGCGTCTCAGCATGACTCGCAAGGCCACGCTAGCCCCACTGCATCCTCGCTGTGAGGCGCCTCCACTCTCTCACCCCAGCCCTTGGCTCTACCACTGCATCCTCTTCGTCATGCCCCCCCTCTTTCCCCCTCCCTCCTTTTCCAACTTCTCCCCCTCGCCCTTGCCCGCTGCCCCTTCCCTGGCTATATCCCTCCCCTCCTCGCCCTTCCACTGCCCCCACCTTCGCTATGTCCCGTCGTGTCCACTGTGAACGTCCTTTTTGTTCCTTCTTTCCCTTCTCCCTCCTCCTCGCCCTCTCTCCCCTTCACTTCTCTCCCTGTTTCCCTCCTCCCCCCTCCTTCGGCCCCCCTTTCAAGGCTTCCTTCCTTGCATTTCTTGTTCCTCGTTCCTAATTTTATGTTTTCAGTAGCATTGAGATGCCTTGTACTGTACATCGTACTTACCCTGATCCCTCTCCCACTTGCAATCGCCTGTGCCCATTCTCCGTGTGACAGGTGAAGGCATCAATGTGTAGAATAAAGCAAGTGCTGACGGAGAGAGCACTCGCTGTAGAGGACCCTGATAAGAGATGGTTTTATAAGAAAATTATCAATGACATGTAGGCTGCTGTTGAGTAAAAGAGCACTCCCCATTCTTTCTGGTGAATTGCGTATCTGAAATTTGGCAGGGAAAGTGTTGGTTGGATTATTACCAGTCTTGACTGAGCAATAACCAATAGCGTGTGTCTCAAAGAGGGGATTTGTGAAGCTTTTCACGCAACACCACCATTTTTTCTAGTGAATTTTGCGAGTGGTCAGGATTCCAGTTCCGTTCCGATAGAAGCTTGAGCACCCCGAATTCATGATCGAAACGCAACTGTGATCTATGCACTTGCTAGAATTCGCCTCGACGCAGATCTCACGGCCAGTACTGTAGTGACGCGATGACTCCTCCCCGCGTCCCTCGCCTCTGTCTGCTAATCTTCTCTTCCATTGCCCGCCGCTTTCCGCCCCTTTTCCGCTCCGGCTGATCAGCGACCGCAGTACGAATCAACGCAGCGCAATCAGCGCGTTCCTAACTCAGTAGATCTTCAAATTATATCATCCACAGCCGTCGTAGGTGCGACGAAGCCTTGCAGTGACGGCAATTCAGATGACGCGTCTGATTCAACCATAATAGCCATCGTCTTGACGCTTGACTTCTGAGTCGACTCAAAAGTCACCTCGTGGCGATTCAGATGACGCGTCTGATTCGACCGTATTAGCCGTCGCCTTGACGCTTCGTCGTTGCTGCTAGTTCAACAGCACCCGCCGCTCTCCCCGCCCTCTCCTCCGCGCCTCCTCCACGTTTCCCGCGCCGTCTCCCGGTTCCCCCCGCTTTGCCCTTCTACTGCTCCTCCCCGACTACCTGTTCCTCTCCTCGCTCCTCCCTCCCCCTCCGCCCCTCCGCCCTGCCGCCTCTCCCCATCCCCCTGATCCGCGAACGGGGGGAGCGCACGATGGCGGCGCAGCGGGCGCCGCCGAGCTTCCGCCTGCGCGCATACTACGGGATCGACTTCCCGGGGAAGGTGGCGGTGCTGGTGGCGCAGTCGCTGCTCTCATTCGCGCTCGCCGCCACCCTCTTTGGGCGCTATGCGGCGGCCGTCGCGCTCGTTCGCCGCTTCTGGCCGCTGCTGCCAGCGCAGGTACGCGCTCGCACGCACTAGTGTTTTGGCGGTAACAACAAGTCAGACAGTCAGTCAGCCAGTCAGTCAGGCCCTTAATTCTTCCCATTTCCCCTTCCTCCCCTCCCCTCCCGCATCCGGCCCCCGGTTCCCCATCCCCCTCCTCTCCCTCATCCGCCCCCCCGTTCCCCATCCCCCTCCCCTCCCCCATCCGCAGCTCTCCAGTTTCCTCGTCGGTTTCTCAGCAGCCTTGGCTCTCCTCCTCGCCGTCGCCTATTCCCTCACGCTCTCCGCCAACCTCCGCACCTCCCTCCTCCTCCGCCCCCGCCTCGCCCGCCACATGCTCTCACTCGTCCCCTCCTGGCAACCGGTCCGCACCGCTCTCGACCTGGGGAGCGGCCGCGGCGTTCTGCTCGCGAGCCTGGGGCTGCAACTCGTGGAGTGTGGCGGGGAGGGGCGGGCGATTGGGTTTGACAGCTGGGAGACCAAGAGCCGTGCTGCTGCTGGGGTTAAAGGGGGAAGCAGATTGGAAGTGGAACAGAGTAGCGCTTCAAAAGGTGCAGCTGCTGGTGCTGCTGATGCTGATGCTGGGGATGGTGCTAGTGCTGACGCTGGTGCCACTGGCAGCAGCAGCAGCAGTGGGAGGCATGTGCGGCACAGAAGAGCAGATAAAGCCAAATCAGGCCACCCAGGCAGGAGTTTGGCCGGAACAACTTCCCCTGCTCCTGCTGCTCCAGCGAGCGGGCTAGCAGCCGTGTCAGCGGCAGCAGTGGGGAGCATGGCGGGGGCGCTGAGGGCAGCAGCGAGGGAGGGCGTGGGGGCGCTGGTGACGTGCAAGACGGGCGCGTTTGACCGCCTGCCCTTCCCTGACGCCTACTTTGATGTCGTTGTTTCTGCCCTGCGCCTGCACGCCATTGCCTCGGTATGTGTCAGCCGTGTGCCACGTTCGTACCTGATGTGCCACGCGCCTCATGTGCCACGTGCCTCATGTGCCATGCGCCTCATGTGCCACGTGCCTCATGTGCCACGTGCCTCATGTGCCATGCGCCTCATGTGCCACGTGCCTCATGTGCCACGTGCCTCATGTGCCACGTGCCTCATGTGCCACGTGCCTCATGTGCCACGTGCCTCATGTGCCACGTGCCTCATGTGCCACGCGCCTCATGTGCCACGTGCCTCATGTGCCACGTGCCTCATGTGCCACGTGCCTCATGTGCCACGTGCCTCATGTGCCACGTGCCTCATGTGCCACGCGCCTCATGTGCCACGTGCCTCATGTGCCACGCGCCTCATGTGCCACGTGCCTCATGTGCCACGTGCCTCATGTGCCACGTGCCTCATGTGCCACGTGCCTCATGTGCCACGTGCCTCATGTGCCACGCGCCTCATGTGCCACGCGCCTCATGTGCCACGTGCCTCATGTGCCACGCGCCTCATGTGCCATACCTGGGTGCACTTGACCGCCCGCCCTTGGCTGATGCTCACTTTGATGTCTTTGTCTTTGTCTCTGCCCTTCGCCTCCATGCCATCGCTTCGGCACGTCTTCAAGCCGGGGGAACGGGTGGTGCTATGGTATGTCATGCATGTGCCTGCTTTTGCAGAACTCCTGACTCCCTTCCCCTGTTCCCGCCCGCCCTTCCCTCCCCCGTGTCCTCCCCTCCCGTCCACCTACCCGGCAGGTGCTAGAAAGTACGGACACTCAAGCAGTGGAGAGGGAGCGGCAGAGGGTGGTTGGCGAGAGTGCTTAAGTGCTGAAGCGGCAGGGGTCTGGTCTGGTGCTGATGGGCATCTCACTCCCTCTTATCCCCACCTCTGCCTCCCATTCATCCACATGTTTTGAGACATCTCAAAACAACACTTTTATCACGTCACTCCCTCTTATCCCCACCTCTGTTTCCCATTCATCCACATGACAGGTGCTAGAAGACTCAGACCCATCAGCAGCGGAGAGGGAGCGGCAGAGGGTGCTGCAGCAGGTGGCGAGAGTGTTGAAACCGGGGGGGAGGGTGATAGTGTGGGATGTGATGCACGTGCCGGCCTATGCGGAGTATTTCAGGTCTCTGGGATGGAAGCATGTCGTAGTGACCCCCGGCCCGAATGCTTTCATGCTGCCCTCGCATGTACTTTCTGCCCGGAAACCGAAATGACCAAGCAGGAATTTTCTGTTTTGTAAGGTGTTGTTGTAGTGCTTGTGCTGCTGCGGCTGCCGTGGCATTGCAATCAATCTTGAGAAAGAGGTTTCAGCAGAAGAGGGCACTTTGCAGCCAGAGAGGTGATGATGCCAGCAATGGCGCATTGTTGCATGCAGGTGCAGTGAGGATGGCAAAGCAGTGAGCAGCATACAGTCAGTCCCATCACATCACATCACACCGTTCAGACATAAATAACTTCATAAAGGTGGGTCATCAAAATACTTGCTATAAGCAGGCTCAGAGATCAGCTGTAAGAACTAGACACGAAAACTAAGAAGAGAGCAAGCTACGATGCAGGGCATGTTGGGTAGAGGCTCAGGGCCGAACGACAGGCAGCATGAGTGGGAGCGAGGGAGGGAGGGCAGTCAGAATTGTAAGCAGATGGGCCTTTGAACTGAGACAAGATGAGACGAGACGAGACGTCTCAGAAGGCAAGAGTTGTTGCTGAGTTCATGTCTCGGCAAGAAGACTCTGTCTGCACTGCATGGTCAGGTAATGCCCAGCGGGGCAGTGCAGAACAATATGTGCAGAAGACTCTGTCTGCACAGAACTGAGATCAGCCACCCGAGACGACCCACCCACCCACCACCCTGTGTCACACGTACGTTTTGTCGCGTGCCTTACGTAGCAGAATCCAAAACCCCGGTTCCCTCAGTGTCCTTAGGTCTAGTCCCTGTGCCATAGTGGCCGCATGCAGCTTGATGCAATGCAGTCAGCCGACCGAGCTTGACCCGCACCACGAAACCCTCAGCTACGCGTCACCACGCTCTCACCACGCTCTCACCACAGCCTGCTTCACCACAGCCTGCTTCACCTCAGCCGCCTGCTTCAGTACAGCCTCCCCCACAACAGCCCGCCTCAGCAAGGCCTGATCAGTCAGATGAGCCACAGCCACAGACAGGCTGAACCAGCTCTCCTCGAGACAACACCATCCTCCCCCTCACCCCACCTCATCCCCCTTATAAGACGCCTCAACACTCAGCATGGCCAGCCCAGCCATGTGAACCACTCCCGACATACGCATGCCACAGGCTGAACCCCATCCTTTTGAATCCCTCCTCCCTCTCACCATCCCCTATGTAAGACGAGCCCATATTGAACTCAACATGGCCTCCCCAACCGTATCAGCCACTTGCGGTACGCATGCGACAGGCTCAACCAGCTCTCCTCCCTCTCCCCACCCCCCGCTCCACTCCCCCCTCCTCCTCTCCCCCCTCCGCCCCCACCCTCCGCACCCCCCATTTCGGGAATCGCCAGCTCAGGCAGCGCAGGGCGGGAAGAGAAGAGAGACGCGCGGGCGGCCGCAGCAGCGGCGGCAATAGGGGACGGCAGGGGCGGGAGAGCATGAGGGGTGGGGCCGGCATGTTTTGTCCAGAAGGCAATTTGATACCAGAGGGTGTAGGTGTTGAGTTGCTCATGGGCGGGCAGTGTGAGAACAAGTTCATTGAATCCGGACACTAGCGCTGTCCGCTCCTCTGGGGTTAGGTCAAAACCTAACAGCTGATACCGCACCCCCTGCTGCTGCTGCTGCTGCTGCTGCTGCTGCTGCTGGTGTTGCTGTTGGGATTTGGCGTTGGGTGTGCTAGTAGACGCGGGTTGAGCAAGGGTGGATGAAGGGGGTTCTCTGCTGCTGCTGCTGCTGCTGCTGCTGCTGCTCCCGTTGCTGTTGTGTCTCCCGCTGCTGCCACTGCGACTGCTAACAGAGGAGGAGCAGATTTCCAGCAGCACGGGCAGCCACAGCCGCACAAACGACACGCGCAGCTGCGGATTCGCTACAAGCCGCTTCGATAGCATCGCACTCATGGTCCCCACTAGTGCTGACTTGACCACGTACAGTGCCCCGGGCGGCACCGCCCCCGCTGACGCTGCTGCCGCCCCCACCCCTCCCCCTCCGCTTCCCCCTGCCTGCCCTTTCCCCGGAGTCCCAACACTGTCTAACCCGCCATCCTCCCCCTCCCCCGCCCCGCCCTCCGCGCCCCCCTCATCCTCGTTAACAGTCTCCAGCCCCTGCGTCGAGAAACTGAAGCTCTTAGCGAATCCCGGACCTACCGCCTGGGCTGCCGGCAGGCCCTCCACATCAGCAGGCTCGGCCCGAGCCTGCCGCTGCGTCAGGGAGCAGCTCTGCCGAACCTGCGAGACGAACTCGTTATCAGTCGCAAGCCATTTAAAGACCTCGTCCGCCATAGCGAATTCCAGCATCAGCCCCACGAGCCACGTCAGCGCGCCTTGCGCCCCGTATACCATCTCCAGCATCCCCTCGTCATCACCGCTCAATCCCCCCGCGCCTCCTCCTGCCTGCTCCTCCCCCCGCGGGCGCGGGGACGGCGCCGGAGCGTCATGCTGCGCGGCGGGAGAGGCTTCCCCGCGCGCCCCTGCGGGGGACGTGGCGGGAACAGGAAGCGGAGCGTCTCTAGGGGTGCGCGGGGACGGGCTCGGCGCTCCGCCTCCCGCGCCCCCCCCTGCTCCCGCTCCCGCCATTGCAGCCGCCGCGGCGCGCGTGCACGACGAGTTTCTACGCTTTAACTCCCGCTGCTCTGACCAAAGACACTGTAGGAGATCGACGAACGTCTCTCTAAGCACCGCCTTCTTGGTCTTAAGACTGAGCGTCGGCTCGTGGCGGTTCCGCAAAATCGCGCTCGCCGCCTCTCGGCACTCAATCGTCCCCGGAGCCACCTCCGCCGCCTTCCCGCCGCCCCTTCCCGCCCCTGCCGCTCCCCGCCCTGCGGGCTCTTCCCCCTCCGCCTTCCCCGCGCCCTGGCGGCTGTCGTGAAACGCGACGGCGCGGATGAGCAGGATCCGAAGCGCGTCGGAGATGCTCTCCTCGTCCCACGTGCGCACTGGCAGACGGTCGAGGATCGGCCGCGCGTCCTGCAGATGCTCCAGCTGCGATACCAGCCGTAGGATCTCCTCCAGCTCATCGTCGTTCCACGGTACAGATTCGAGATAATCCACGCACGCGCTTGTGCACATGTGGAACTGCAGCTCTGAGGAAACGACTAGGGTTTCTAGAACGCGCCATACGGAGCCTAAGCACTGAATTTCATCGGGAAGCTCCTCTTCTTCTAGGTAAAACATGCGGAAGGTTGACACGTAAGCGTCGGGGTCTGCCACGTGGCCGCTGGCCTGGATCGTGAAGGTGGTCCCCGCGGCGTCGTGCGAGATCGTCGCGCCCTGGATCGGGTCGCGCACGGCGCGCTTCGCGAGCGCGTTGAAGAAATAATCGCTCTGCTCGCGGAGCACGGAGGTGTGGAGATTAAGTACTGCGTGCAGCTCCCCTTTACGATTTAAGATCTCGATATGGATGTCGCTAGTCGGCTCGTCGTTAAATATCGGGGTAGCGGCGGCGGAGGAGGAGGACGAGAGTGTCGTGGGGAGCGCGGGGGCTAAGCCTCCCGCTCCGCCTCCGCCTCCGCCCGCTCCGCCTGCGGCCGCCGGGTTGCGGAACGGCGGCAGGCTCCGCGAGTGCGCGAGGAACTTCGCCGCCGCATCGGGCGGCTTCGACGGCGACCTCGGCGGCTGCGATTGGCCGTAGAAGTTCTTGAACATGGCGGCTCGCTGGACGCGACTCGGAGAAGGCCAGGAGGCGCGATTAATCGAATAACGAGTTTATCAACTTGGAGAACAGTTTAGCGAGGAAAGGCTGTAGGGTGTACTGGTTTCAGGGAGATATACCAATGGCGAGACAACAGCGGCTTTAGTGTATGATACGGGTAGGTGGTTGGCACCTCAATGAGGCACTGTTTGAGTCAAGCCAAATTTAGGGTTGCGGTTGTGACACTGCCATTGGCGAAAAAGGGAAACTAAATCAGGCATCATACACTTACGAAAGGACTATGCAGCTGCGATCTGCGACAAAGGCGACATATGTACGACTCCAGCGAGCTAGCAAGGGAAGCCGTAGGGAGGGAACTACATGAAGGCAGCCGCAGGCAGAAGAAACAGAAATGCTGTTGTTGTATGTACGGACAAGGAGAAACAAATGAGGGGGGTGGAAGGGAAGAAGTACGGCAGTTTATACTGAACTCCCACGGTCTCACTGCCTGGTCCACCATGGCTGAGTGACGTGACGTGACGACCAGGGTTGGTGTGCGCCTGAGTTTGGGCGACTGAGCGACGACCTTTGCAGTCTGGCGATGCCTGGCGAATACGTTAGGCAACGGCGATTTCACGTGCTTTGACCTAATGATAAGTGGTTATGGCAGTTTCTGGTGAGCGAAGAACGAAGAATGGCAACTGAATCGGTGCCCTTCTTGTTGCGGTATGAGGTGTTTTGTACAGTGCGTAATTACCTTATTCAATAATAAGCAAGACATTACTTCAAAAATAACTTGAAGGGGCCTCTAATGGGTGACCTTTGAAGGTCACAAGCTACTTGCGAAAGGGCTGGACAGCTAGCACAGAGCGCACTGAGTGCTTGCCATCACTCCAAACTAGACTGCCAAAAACAAATTTGATAGACTGTGTTACCACTTTGAATGTGACATTGTATGTCATCTTGGCTCCTGGTTGAATTGTGAAGGACGATGGAGAGACCGTTACAGTCACTCCCTTAGGCTGGGAAACCTTTGCTGTGTATGTGCTTGCAGTTTTAGCAACATTTGTTACAGTCCGTGTTACCACCGTGGATCCTCGCAGGTTGCTCACAGCAATGTTTGGCAGGTTCAAATCATACCTGAAAAAACAAAAAGAGAGAAACACATATAATATTAGTCAGAAGAACATCGGAGGGAGACAAACGCGGAGGAAAGAGAAAAAGGTGGTAACTCACGGGTGGGCAAGCGGCTTCCTTTTCTCCTTGGCCACCGCCCAATACGCTGACGTCTGCTTTACGTCCACTGCATCAACCGCTATAAGAAACTTCACATTCTCAAGCACTGTAGAGTCGTACACCAGCCCTGGGTCCAGGGCTTTAAACGTGTCCACATGCCCCGTGCCATAGTCAAAGGGGTCTGCTGCTCGTAGCTGCCCGGCCGAGTAAATCGGCTTGTTCTTGTTGTTTAAGGTGTACGCCGTGGTCATGAGCGCGGATTTGAGGGCAAAGGGCGACCAGTTGGGGTATTTCCCCTTGATAATTGCAGCGAGGCCGGAGATGTGCGGGCAGGACATGGAAGTCCCGCTGATCAAGAGATGAGACATGGAGGCAGCAGGGACAACGCCTGAAGCAATCCCGTAGGGCTCCTGGAAGGGCGACTGGGTCCACCCGGCCCACACCTCCAGCCCCGGTGCGGTGATGTCGGGCTTCAAGACGTCGTTGTACCCGAACGAGTACTTGCCGCCCTCCCGGGCGTCTAGCACGGGGTCGACGTTGGGTCCCGTGGAGGAGAAGGACGCGACGGTGGGCGCCGCCAGCTGCTTCACGTACGAGGCTGAGATTTTGGCCTTTACTCTGAGGTGTAACGGGAGTAGGGGAGTGGGGAGCAGCGCGTAGTGGGGGAAGAGGAGGGGGGAGGCAAGAGAGGGCGGCATGAGGCACGTGTTGGGCCCAAAGGAGGAGTACTTGCCGCCCCTTTTTTGGAGGCTTTTACCCTGGGGGTTAAGGGGAGGGAGGGAAGCAGGGCAGAGGGGAGTGAGCAGTGAGAGGAGGGCCATGGGTGGGTGGGATGAAGCAAAGTAAGGATGAGATGGAGGGGATGGAGGGGAGAGAGGAGCAGGGCAGAAGGGCACGGGTATGGCCGATGGGGGTCGGTTGGGCGTTGTGCTGGAAGAATTATCGTGCCGTGAGTATGATATGCTCATATGGTGCCTCAGAAACTTGTTGACTTTTGAGTCGACTCAAAAATGGGGGTCAGTTGGGTGTTGTGCTGGAAGGATTATCGTGCCGTGCCGTGAGTATGATATGCTCATATGGTGGCTCAGATACTTGTCGCTTCCCTCTGCCCCTTCCCTTTCCCTATCCCTTTCCCTTCCCCCTCCCCCTTTCCCACCCTTCCACATCAACCTCCTTGCCCCTCCCCCATCCACTCACGCACCCACCCACTCCCGCAACTCACCCTGTGGAATTTCCCAGAAGCTTCACGAGCCTCTTGCCAGTGTACCGGTCCAGGTGGCACGCAGGGATTGGGTGAAGCACAGCCACTACGCGATCCGCCTTATCTGTGTTGTATATAATCACACCCGCAGCGCCCGCCTTCTTAACGGTGATGCTTATAGGGAGGAGGTCCTCGGAGCTCCACCCTCCGAATTGGGATATGCGTCGGCACACCACGATCTTGCCCGAGACCTTGGCTGGGTCGAGGGTGCCTGACGCACACACACCCGCCTAGGAGGGATGGAGGACGGGGGTGGAACGGGGAGGGAATGGAAGGATGGAGGAAGATGGGCGGAGGGGAGCGGAGGGAGGAGGTCATTGGAGCTGCACCCGCCAAACTGGAATCTGCGCCGTCAGAATCACCTCCCCCTCGCCCGCCCCCACCCCTGCTAGCTACCATACTTGCTCACTCATTTACAACCTCTCAAACACCCTCACCCCCTCCCTTTTACTCACCATCCACGCGTTCCCTCCGGCCTTCACGCCGTTCTTCCCTAAAATCAGCTCCCCACCGCCCGTCCCCACCATCGATCGCCCAGAGAACTTGTCCCCGTTGACCGTCACATCAGTCATGTAGTTGCGGCCGTGGGAGCTGGCAGCAACGGTGATCATCCACGGGGACGGGTGCCCTATGCTGCGAAAGAAGGCGTCTCCGGTGGTAGTGGGGCCGCTGTTGCCCGCTGACACTGACGCCAGCACGCCTGCCTGTGAGGGGGGGGATCAGGGAGGGAGAGGAGAGGGGAAAGGAGTGTTGGTGAATAGGAGGGGGGTGGGTTTGGGCGGTTTTGAGGGGGGAGTGGGGGCAAGTGGAGAGGCAAGGAGGAAGGAGTGTGAGGAGCTGGCAGCAACGGTGATCATCCAGGGGGAGGGGTGTCCGATGCTACGAAAGAGCTGGCCTCTGATGGTAGTGGGGCCGCTGTTGCCCGCTGACACTGACGCCAGCACCCCTGCCTGTCGGGGGTGGTGGATTGATGGTGGAGGAGGGGGAGAGGGGGGGATTTCGGGGCTAGGAGAGGGGGGAGTGGAGGTGAGGGGAGGTGAGTGGAGAGGCGAGGAGGAAGGAGTGTGAGGAGGTGGCAGCGACGGTGATCATCCAGGAAGAAGGGTGCCTGCCTGATGTGGTAGGACAACGGGCCTGCTGCTGCTGCTGCTTGCTGCTGCTGCTGCTTGCTGCTGCTTGCTGCTGCTTGCTGCTGCTTGCTGCTGCTTGCTGCTGCTGCTTGCTGCTGCTGCTGCTGCTGCTGCTGCTGCTGCTGCTGCTTGCTGCTGCTGCTGCTTGCTGCGGATTCCGACACTCAACCCACTCACCCTGGCGGCATTGAGGTAGATCATCTCATCATCGTCAAAGAAGAGAGGAGCCTGGCGGCCCACGGACAGGCTGATCACGTCCACTCCATCCGCCACGGCTGTATCAACAGCCTTGAGAATGTCTGACCCGTCACAGTTGTCCCTCCCGCTCTCCACCGTCGCCCAGAAGACCTGCGGGGGGAGGAGAGCAGATAGGTGAGAACAGAGGAGGGTGAGTGGCAGCTGGGATCGCGAAGGGGCAGGTGATGCCATCACATACCATGCCATGCTATTGCCTTGCACAAGTCGTCAAGTACATGTCATGCCACGCCATGCCATGCCATGCCATACACTGCCCACAAGCCCACCTTGTACATAGCTGCGCGTGCACGTGGCGCCATGCCACACCACGCCACGCACCTGCCATGCTTACGCCAGGTACAGGGCATCGAGTACATGCCATGCCATGCCATGCCATGGCACGCCACGCCATACAGCAACCTCTGGCCCACCTTATACATAGCCACGCGTGCACGTGGCGCCATGCCGCTGGCTGTTCCAAACGAGAAGCCATTCAGCTTCACTTCCACGCCGCTGTTGCCGCCCGCCGTGCTGCAGGAAGAATGGGGCGGTGGTGGAAGGTAATGAGGGAGAATGGGGCGGTGGTGGAAGGTAATGAGGGAGAATGGGGCGGTGGTGGAAGGTAATGAGGGAGAATGGGGCGGTGGTGGAAGGTAATGAGGGAGAATGGGGCGGTGGTGGAAGGTAATGAGGGAGAATGGGTGGTGAGGGTGGTTTGAAATGGGGGAAAGTAGAGGAATATGGAGTGATAAAGCACGTTCCCCACCTGCTAACGTCCTGTGGGCCCCCCACTGCTCATCGCACCTGCTGCTGTTGCAAGCTTGTTGGTTCCAAGCAAAGCCATGCCCCGCCACATCCCTGGGCGACTTGTAATCAATGGTCCAGTCCATGGTGTATCCCGACGCCTTGAGCCCCTGGAAGAACCCTCTCGCCCCCCCTCCCCTCCCTCTCCCCCTGCTGCTGTGTGCCCCGTTCCCTACCTGGTGGTAAGTGTCCCATGCCCCGCCATGCCCCGCCACATCCCTGGGCGACTTGTAATCAACCGTCCAGTCCATGGTATACCCCGACGCCTAGAGCCCCTGCAAGAACCCCCTCGCACCTATCAGCTAAAGCTTCGCCCCACCCCCCTGCTGCTACTGCTAGCATGCTGCGATGGTCCTTACCTCGTGGTATGAGTCCAGTGTCCCGCCACATCCCTCGCCGACTTATAGTCAAGCGTCCAGTCCATGGTATACCCCGACGCCTAGAGCCCCTGGAAGAGGGACCGTACCGTGTGCCCCCATGCTTGCACCTGCGCTGACTTACACCCGTACCTCGTGGTATAAGTGCCATGCCCCGCCATTTCCCGTGCCGACTTGTAATCAAGCGTTCAGTCCACGGTATACCCCATCGCCTCGAGCCCTTGCAAGAACCCCCTGCGCGCCGATCCGCTCAAGGCCCACGCTGCACCTCTAGCCAAAGCCACACCCCCCTGCAGCTGTGTGCCCCATGCCTTACCTGGTAGTATGAGTGCCATGCCCCGCCACGTCTCGTGCGGACTTGTAATCAAGCGTCCATTCCATGGTGTACCCAGACGCCTTGAGCCCCTGGAAGAACCCGCGCGCGTCGATAAGCATGCAGGCTGCAGGCTGCAGGCTGCAGGCGAGCTAAAGCCCCACCCATTGCTCATGTGTGTCCCGTTCCCTACCTGGTTGTATGTGTCCCGTGGCCGGCAACATCCCTGGCCGACTTGTAGTCTAACGTTCAGTCCATGGTGTAACCCGATGCTTTGAGCCCCTGGAAGAACCCCCTGCGTGCCGATCCGCTCAAGGCCCACGCTGCACCTCTAGCCAAAGCCACAACCCCCTGCTGCTGTGTGCCCCATGCCGTACCTGGTGGTATGAGTGCCATGCCCCGCCACGTCTCGTGCGGACTTGTAGTCGATGGTCCAGTCCATGGTGTAACCCGACGCCTTGAGCCCCTGGAAGAACCCGCGCGCGCCTATCAGCTTGCGGTTGCAGCTGGGGAAGTCCGCTGACGTCATGCACGACCCCTTCCACTGGGCTGGCACCGGGCCATAGAGCGGGGTGACCTGGGTCGGGGGAGGGGATGGTGGGGAAGGGGGGTAAGGGAGGGAAAGGGTGATTTGAGGGGCGGGTGAGACGAAAAGAGGGTGAGACGAAGAGAGGTTGAGGTGAGAAGAGGGGAGGTTGAGGTGAGAGCACCACAGGCCGCATTCTTGAGAATTCTCAAAAACCTTCCCCGTTCCCTTGGCTATATTCTCATCATCACTGAATGCAGGGTTCTCCCGCCAGACCCCGTGTCAATCACAATCACGTCCTCGCCCTGCTGCCCCGCGCCCTTCTGCCCCTCCCACTGCTGCCCCTCCCCCTGCTGCCCCTCCCCCTGCTGCCCCTCCCCCTGCTGCCCTCGCCCTTCTGCCCCTCCCCCTGCTGCCCCTCGCCCTTCTGCCCCTCCCCCTGCTGCCTCTCACCCTTCCCCTCGTTGTACTCACATCATCACTGAACGCAGGGTTCTCCCGCCAGATGCCCGTGTCGATCACGCCGATAATCACATTCTCGCCTTGCTGCCCCGCGCCCTTCTGCCCGTTCTGGAGCGTCTCGTTGCTCCACACGCGCTTGCGCAGGTTCAGGAACGTGGGCGTGAATGTCGTGTGCAGCTCGTACTTAGGCGCCTCTCTCACCGACCCCACTTCTGGTCGTCTCTTAAGTGCCGCCACTTGTTGCGGAGTGAGCGTTGCTGCTACGCCGTTCATAGCATACGTGTAGCTGCGGCCAAGGAAGGGCGATGGACGGGTGATGAAAGGGGAAGACCAAAAGGCTGAAAAGACCGATTAACTATCTGCATATCCAGTTGTGTAAAGTTATTTCAACCTCACCCTCCAGCCGAACCTGTACCCCTCCGCACCCTGCCACGATCAGCCGAACCTGTCTATATCTACGAGCACACTCTTATAATCAACCTTACCTCTAATTGAGTAAGCCCTGTTACAAAAAGCTCTGCTACAGTCAGCCTCACCTGTAAACGTGCGCGCTGCTATCGACCCCCGCTTCCGCCAGCACCGCGCTGTGCATGCGCACCAGGTGCGCCGCGTACGCGCGCACGTGCGGCTGCGACGCGTCGAACGCGCGGCGCAGCCCGCCGGCATCCGCCGACCCCGCGGAAGCCGCGGAGGCGATTAGCCCTTCGTCCGAGTCGTCCATCGGCGCAGCGGTTGCGGGGAAGCCGAGGATTCCGCCGGTGTACGTGGCCGCGGGGGGCATGGCGTGGAAGCGGACGATGTAGACTGCGGGGAGGGGAGGGAGGGGGAATGAGCAGAAATACATTCTTAGTGATTCTTGTCGAGTTCAGCGTCAGACAGAACAACTGGAAAGAACGACAAGGCTACGGGTCTACGCGAAAATACAAAGGAAACGCGACGTGCTCACTACGCGCACAGTAAGCGCAGAGTCTGCCGCATAAGAACACCGTAGAAAGAAACTTACCAGTTTTTAGCGGCTCTCCCTTGACCGTGGTTGTCGCTCGTTGGCTCTCGCTTGCACGTGGCCGCAATCTGTCAAACGGCCTCAACGCGTCGGTCGAGGAGGATAGCACCAGCAGTGACACGAATACGAGCGTCGACATTGACGATAACTCTCGGAAGCTTCGCGCCATGGCTACACAATGAGATATGACTCTTCTTGATCGTTCTGGCAACAAGTAATTGCCGTTTTATCAACACTCCACAATATTCTTTTTGTTGATGGGGAGAGGCGGATCAAGAAATCGAGTAAATTATCCTCCCGCTTCCCCGATGTGCAGAGGGTAGTGAGAGAAATGCGGCCGGATGATGATAAATACAATGGTGGTGGAAAATCTTCCTTGCCACCATGCCAGAGCTTTCTTCTTGAATGTCGATAACGTCGACTATAATGATGGATGGAGTGCTTGCTGGCGCCAGTTAAGGTGTAATCTCCGTTTTAAACGAAGGGAGTTGAAGGCTACTAACTTTCTTTTCAAACTACTTTTACAATGCCAGGCGAATGAAAGCGCAAACTTGACTTGGAAATGCTCGTAAGAATAATCAGAGCACTGACTTCAAGATGTCAAGGCAAGGACCATTTCCATGTGAGCTCTGTGAAAGAGATGCGAATTCAGTATGTGTGCTACTGCAGGAGCGAGAGAGGAGGGGTGAGGGGAGAGAGGTAAGACAGTAAAGTCGGCTGCGTGGCGCATGTGACTTACTTGGCAGGGTGCGCGGGGAAAACTCGGGGGAAAGACGGCTGCGCAACCGCCTTACCTTGCCGAGTGCGCGGTCAACACTCCGGACCGCGTGGGGGGAGAGGGGAAGATCGGGGCTGGCCTTGCTGAGCTGGTCACCCTGGGAATTGCCATTTGCGGCGAAAAAGCGCTTCTGTAGAAATGCTGTGCTGACGAAAGGGGCGTACAGATTCCTGTGATTGGTCAGCGACGCGCCTCATGCACCTAGTGGAAGGCGAATACAGTTGCGCTTGTTCCGCGGGCCGTCTTGGCTCTTGCACTACAGGTGGTTCGGGGGCTCGGCGGAAAAGTGAAGGGGTGGGGGAGTTGCAGGGCAGGGAGAATTCGGTGGTTGGGTTAGGAGGAGGTGGTTCGGTCTTTGGTGGTGCGGGAAGTCGATGACGCGGGGATTTGCAGCGTGTTTGCATCGCAGCGCAACTTTGCGATTGTTGGGCCTGAAAAATCTGCCGAGTCGGATCCCAGTTGGGCTGAAAGATTTGTACAGCTAATGCCCGTTAGAGCTCCTCCCGGTTGCCTTGTGAAGGGGGTCTGTAAGCTAAACCTGCATTTAGCGTGAGGTTCGTTCGTTTCGTCAGGCGTCTAGCGTGCTTCAAAACTGCACATGGTAACCACCCAATTTGTCTGACTCGCAACTGTAAGGGTTCGCAGCTCTTGTCCTTGTTGTGTGTTCAGGGTTAATAAGCGGAACCAACATTAATGAACCAAGCATCTACATCTATTGTTCCCCTTAGTACAAAACATGCAAAACACAACCATCATCCAATCAACATCCCCCACCTGGCCCCTCACGTTCATTCAACACACAAAGCGAAACACGCACAAATGTGCACAAGGTGTGAACACTTGTGCCCAGCAAAATGCCTTCGACACCTGAGTGAAACTGCTCCACCACCCCTCACAGACGCATCCACTCAGCCGCGTCCACATAGCTGCCCATCACGGCGCCCACACCGGCGTCGAGCAGCTGCTGACGGCGGGACGGCTGGGTCATCCAGCCAGGAAGCACACGGCCGCGCAGACGAGGGGTCTCGGGCGTGGGAGTTGCGTCGGGGGTGGGGACGGGCTGAGGGGCCACGTTGAGGTTGAATGACGGGCTCGCCCGCTCCATCCGCGCGATAATGATAGGGTTGCGGATATCAAATAGATGGCAGAGATCGCGCGGCGTGATGCGGGTTGCCCGAGCATATCCGATGAGCATCTCGCATGCCGCCCGGGCAGTGCGCCGGGCTTCGCGGCCAACGGGGTCGGCGTCGTCGTAGACGGCCTGCATGGTCGTCGGCGCCTCCCAGAGCTCCACCACCAGGCCCGCCTCCGGCTCCGTGGTGGGCTCTCCCGCAGCGCGATCGGCGCACGTTGGCTCGCCATCGTCGACGGCGACGTACTCGGCGGCCGTCATTGCTCCGTTCCCGAGGCCGAGCCCGCTGATGAGCGTGCCGACATCGTCGATGTCGGCGTCGAGCTCAATGTCGGGATATAAGGCAGGGCGGGGTTCGTCGTCGTGAACGTGTGGCAGCTCCAAGGACCACGAGAGCGGAAGACACCCCGTGCGCCACCAGCACCGCTGGATGGTACGGGCACCGACGGATGTCCACGCGTCCGACAACCACCCCAGGACTTCGCGCAGGTTCGGGCGATACTGCGCGACGGCGCTTGTCACACCGTCGGCGTTCCATAATGCCGAAAAGGCTCGCAACCAGTGCTGGCGGTAGCGGGCCTTGGCGGTGGGGATGATGCCCTGGTCGAGCGGCTGTGTGAATGCGGTGGTGTTGGGCGGCAGGAATACAAGCCGCACGTTGCTCATGCACGTAGTCCGCATGCCGCAGACGATCTCGCTCCATGCGTGCTGGCTCCTAAGCATGTGGCTGCTAGCGTTGTCGAGCAACACTACAATCTTGCGGCCTTCGGCGTACATCGCAGCATTGAGCTGCGATATGAAATGAGTAAATAACTGGGGGCGGGCAAGGGAGGTGAAGGCGTCGTGCAGAGGAAACATAGTTAGCACGTGCATATTCCGCGACATTCACGCACTCGAAGTGTGAAAATATGCCAGCAACCCCATACAGAGTACAAACTTACCTGCGACGTCATCCATCCTTTCGCGTTATGCCGCTAGTAGCATAGGGCTTCGGGGTCATAGTCCGGGCGGAAGTCGTGGGGCCGCTTCGCCTGATCACAAGCGGGCGGAAAACGTGGCTTCCGTCCGCATTCACGAGGAATGCGACGGTCAGGCGGTCCTTGGGAACTTTGCGACCTGGTATGCGGCCGTTGCTGTACGTGCGCCTAGGGAGCACGGGGAGCCATAGTGCGGTCTCGTCCAGGTTGAATGTGTCCCGCGGGGTGACGCCGAGATGAGTGAGGAGTTGCGGAAGCTTCTCCCGGGCGCCGCGCACGGCGGCCATGTCCGCGCTAGCCGCCTCGCCTTGTGCTGCACGGCACCGCACCCCCTGGCGCCGCAAAGCACGGCGCACCCAGCCGATGGAGCAGCGGAATGTGGGCGGAATGCCCATGTTCCGCGCGATGGCCGCGACATGGTCGCGGATGGTCTGCAGGGTAAGCGGCACGCCGGCGGGCCCCGCGTTTGCAATCCACCGCGACATGGCCTGCTCCAGCTCAGGCCATGCGCCACCTCGCCGGCGCAATTGGTTGTCGCCGGTTGCCGTGACAGCCCGTCGTTCCGCGCTCTTCAAAATGCGCCCGACAGTGGAGCGATCCGGGCGCAAGCCGTAATGAGAGTAACACCACCTCGCCAGGTCAACATGACGCAGGCGGGGGTTTTCGACGTGGTGCGCGCAAATAGCGCGCTTGATATGGAGTGGGAGCTGTTCTCGCAGATTAAAACGGACCATTTTGAGAGGCTGGGGAGTGTGAGAATGGTGAGTTACTGGATCCATTGTGCTGATTTTAACTTCAGATGGCGGGCGTGCAAGGGCAATGCTGGGGACTGTTCTTTGTGGCGCGTCCCATACATGTGGATGGTGCTCGTTCCATGCACCGGGCTTGCATATTTGATCGTGTGGTTTGGTAACCACAATATCAAATGCCTGACGTGGGGTTGGCGAACAACGCCTGGCTGATAATGGGCCAGTACCCCAAAGGTGCAGAGTACACGTGGCACCGTGAATTTGCCAAAATGTCTGTTACATGCACGATGAACCCTGCTTAGGTGTCGGGGCATTTTGGCGAATGCCTGGACGAAACCACGGTCGTTTCGTCCATTCATTTCGCCTGCCTGACTTCTGGCCCAGAAACAAGGCAAACCTTGGTCGGCCTGCCTTGTTCTGGTCTGCACGTGCCTTGGTGGCCGAGGCGCGTGTACTGTATCCAGCCATCCAGGTGCTTGTACTGTGGGAGCAGCAAGCAGGGGTTTCGAGTTCGGGGGCAGCGTTTCCATCCGGTGCATGGCAAATTCGCGTGCACTGGTCGGGCATCATGTGTACAGCCCACGCTCTTGGATCTACGTTTGTACATGTACAGTGCACAAGTGCGAGTCATCTCATCTCTTCGTTGCAATTGCGCTTGAAAGGATTGACTTGAGAGGCAAATGTGCTGCGTGACCCACACAACATATAAAGTAATATAGATATATAAAAGTGGGAGATGGATAGCAACCAAAGAGAACCTCTTGATAGTCCCACTGGTGAAAAAATGTGTGGGATGATCCGTAGGATAAAAGGACGTAAATATTATTATGTCTGACTACCTTCTTTCCACTCATCCACAACACTCTCGATTCTCCATTGTTGTTACCATTTGTCGCCACACACACTCCCCGCTCACTCACACAATTGACTCTCAACACGTCTAACAACACTCTCAACACCCACTGCCACCACTAACTCCACCCACATTCCTCTTATCCGACCCTAAGCATGCACACTCCACTCCCACTCTCCCCATGTCACCCTCCTCGATTGTTCTTACCATTCACTCTTTCCAATAACTGTCGCCACTAACTTTCACTGCTCACTATTACCGCTCACTCTCACAGCTCACTATCACCGACGCACACTCTCACAACTCACTCAAACCTGCTCACTATCACGCAGCTCACGTTTAGAGTCATTTTAAAACCTAACTCTCACCACCAACTGCCCATCTCACCACCCATTCGCCACAAAACAAATTACTCAACAGTCAATGCCACCACTAACTCTCGCCTCAACCCCTCACTACTCACTATCCCGTTCACTCTTGCAACTCCTTTTCACCAGACACTCTCAGCACTCATTCTGACCCACTGTCCCCACTCAATCTCACCAATCCCTTTCACCACCCACAATCATCTTTCACTCTCCTCACTCACTCTCAGCATCTGCTGTTCCCACTAACTCTCACCAATGACTGTCCCCGCTCACTATCCCCACTCACTATCCCCACTCACTATCCCCACTCACTGCCCCCGCTCACTGTCCCCACTCACTGTCCAACACATTTGCAAACTCTGTTTCACAACAGCCTCACCATTACTCCCTCCAATCACTCTCACTAACCAATGACGCTCACCACTACCAACCACACCCTCCCACCATCTTTCCCTTCTCACTACCCGGCACATCCTGCACTCGCCATGCAACAGGTGGCACCAGTGCCCTAGGGCTCATCCCATGCCACCCAATGAGCATCATGCTCTCACGCAACATGTGCCACTGCCAACCCCACTGCCTCACCCCACCCTCCCTCCCCCACCATCACCACACACTCCACCCTTCCCCACCCCACCCTCACCTGCTAGCAATGGGAGCAGAAGACAGCCCACCTCCTTGCGGAAACAGCACCCCCGGGGGCTATACCTTGCAGAGCGAGGTGTGATAGTGGAAAATCGCTTCCAGCCCAAGACTCAAATCCCACCCCTGACGTAGCCAGAGCTGACGCGAACCAGAGCCGCCGGCCGGTCGGCTCTGACGGTGTCCATTAGGCCTTAAACGCCAGATCGGTTACTTGAGCACCGAGTGCCGTGCCGCGCAGATCCCACCCACCACACCCCGACCCACAACGCACAACCCCTGAGGAAGCTGCCCCTAAGGCAGTGAGCTGGCCACTTGCTCCCATGCTCCCCTCCCACCCACCCCACAATTCACCCTCATGCCTCCTTACCTGTCCTTACCTCCACCTACCAGAGCCATGCAGAGCGCCATGATGCCTCAGGCTGCTGGGAAGGGAGGGAGGCAGGGACCAAGGGAGAGCAGTGAGCAAGGGGAGAACGACAAGGCAGAAGCGCGAAGGCAGGACAGGAGAAATAAAAGAAAGTAAGCATTGCAAGAAGAGCAAGCAGCAGCGTGAGTGAAGGAAAGAACAGACATGCAAGCGAGGGGAAAAGAGGCTCACCTTGTTTCAGACAACCCAGCCCGATACTCTCCCTTCCCATCCCAGCCGAGTGGAATGCTGCCCCCCTCCCCTGACCCCACATGACCTGGCAGTGGGGGAAAAAGGTGTGAAGGGACAGGAGAGGAGGGGCAGGTCAGTTGGCATCAACTGAAACAGTCAAGTAAACAGAAGACACTAGAGTGGACAAAAACGGCAATGCCGAAATGAAGTGAGGGAAATGAGGCATCTGTAGCAGGGAAGGGAAAAGAGGCTCACCTTGGTTCAGACGACCCAGCCCGATACGCTTCCTTCCACCCCAGCCAATTGGAGTGCTGCCCCAAGCTTTGGCTGAACCAGAGGCTTGCGTTTGGAGCGAGAAGAAACAGGAGATGCAGCAAGGAACACAAGAGAGAGTGGGAGTAGAGAGGCAGGGCAGGAACTTAGCTGCGGGTGGGTTGCGGCTGCTGCCTGTGCACTCCATGTCCTTGCCACTGCCACTTCTGTATGAGTGAGGGGAAGGAGGGGGGGAAGGGGAAGGAGGCAGGGAGCAAGGGACAGCCGTGAGCATGGTGGGGAGAAGAGGAAGCAACGGCGTAAGAGAAAGAAAGAACAGACATTCAAGCATCTGAGGCAGGGAGGGAAAAGAGGCTCACCTTGATTCAGACGACCCAGCCCGATACTCTCCCATCCCATCCCAGCCGAGTGGAGTGCTGCCCCCCTCCCCTCCCACCACAGCCACCTGCACGGCCACAGGGGAGAGACGTGAGGGAGTGGCGGTGTTGACCCCCACGCCCCTCCCCTCCACCTGCAATGGCCCACAGAGAAATAGTGAGTGACTGGAGGAGAGGCGAGGGGGTGAAGGAGGAGATGCACGATCAGAAGAAGCAGAGGGGAAGGGGCCACTGGTGCAACCTCAGTTACAAGCCACAGACCCAAGGGGGAAATATATCTAGGAAGGTTTAACCTGAGAGTATACCTGCTGTACCAGGGGGGATCTACCTTAGAAAAAACGGGTCTGTGGCTTGAAGCTTTGGCTGAACAGAGGCTTGCATTTGAAGAGAGAAGAAACAGGAGATGCAGCAAAGAACACAAGAGAGAACAGGAGTAGAGAGGCAGGGCAGGAACTTAGCTGCGGGTGGGTTGCGGCTGCTGCCTGTGCACTCCATGTCCCCCGCCACTGCCACTTCTGTATGAGTGACCTGCAGGGAGGCAGGGAGCAACGGAGCAAGGGAGTAGGGGCAGGGAGGCAGGGAGCAAGGGACAGCAGTGAGCATGGTAGGGAGAAGAGCAAGCAACGGCGTAAGAGAAAGAAAAAACAGACACCAGAGAATCTGAGGCAGGGAGGATATAAGAGGCTCACCTTGGTTCAGACGACCCAGCCCGACACTCTCCCATCCCATCCCAGCCGAGTGGAGTGCCGCTTCCCTCCCCTCCTACCACAGCCACCTGCACGGCCACTGGGGAGGGGTGTGAGGGAGCGGCGGTGTTGACCCCCACGCCCCTCCCCTCCACCTGCAAGGAGAGAACTGATGAGACGTGAGTAAGCAGCTAGAAGTACCAATGCGAAGGTAGTGCATGGGTGGGGTGGGGTGGCAGGTGACAGCAGAAAAGGGGGCCGCTGGTGCAGCTTCAGCTACAAGCCAGAGACTCAAACGGAGGCTTAACTTGAGAGCATACCTGTACCTGGGGTGGTTTACCGAAAAAGAGGAGTCTGTGGCTTGAAGTTGTAGCACAACCAGAGGCTCAGGTTTGAAGGAAGGTTCAGAAATTTTGCATGTGACAAAGGGAAGCACATGAAAAGCAACAGAGTGCGACAGGTTGGGAGAAGAGAGGAAGGGCGGGGTACTTAGCTGCGGGTGGGTTGGGTGGAGAGCAGCTGCTGCCTGTGCACTCCATGTCCCCCGCCACTGCCACTCCCGTGCGAGCGACCTGCTGGGACCAGAATGGGGCAGATCGGGACAGAGAGGAGGGAGGAGGGGGGGAGGAAAACGGGGGAGTGAAGGGGGACAGAGGAGTGGAGAGAGCAGTGAGGAAAGTAGCAAAGAGTGAAGTGAGAGCGAAGAGTGCAGCAAGTGCAAGAATAATCCGTGCATGAATGGACTGCTGCAGTGGCACACCCAAGAGACCTCGTACGGGCTGAACCAAACTAGAACGAATACCTGAGGCCTTACCAAGAAAAAAGATACCTACTACCTTGGGGGAGGGAGGTCTAATGGGTGTGACAAAGAGCAGTGAAAAAAGGAGTGTCATGCAAGGTGCAAGCATGGCAAGCAAAGTAACACAGTGCGAGGATTTGGAAAAGAGAGGAAGGGCGGGGTACTTAGCTGCGGGTGGGTTGGGTGGAGAGCAGCTGCTGCCTGTGCACTCCATGTCCCCCGCCACTGCCACTCCCGTGCGAGCGACCTGCTGAGAAGAGAGGGGGCAGATTAGGACTGAGAAGGGAGGGGGAAAAAATGCGGATGTGAAGGCTGGGCAGAGTATTGCAGAGGGCAATGAGAAAGTATGCAAAAAAGAGTGGAGCAAGGAGCGAGACAAGAAGAGGGCACGGGGAGAGAAGACCAAGCAGCAGCATGACTGATGTAGAGGAGGGGATATGAGGCTCACCTTGTTTCAAACAACCCAGTCCCGATACTCTCGCTTCCCGCCCCAGCCGAGTAATGTGCTGCCCCTTTCCCCTCCCCTCCACTGCCACCTGCACGGCAACAGGGGAGGGGTGTGAGGGAGTGGCGGTGTTGACCCCCACGCCCCTCCCCTCAACCAGCAAGGAGGAAACTGAAGATCGGTGAGTAAGCGGCTAGTGGTAGGATGGGTGGGGTGGGATGGCAGGTGAGAGCAGAGAAGGGGGCCACTGATGCAGCCTCAGCTACAAGCCACAGACCCAAGGGGGGAACAAACCTGGGAAGCTTACCTGCAGACCTGAGAGTATACCTGTAATACCTGGGGGGATTTACACTAGAGAAGGGGTCCGTGGCTTGGAGCTTTGACTCAACCAGAGGCTTGCATTTGAATGCACAAGTGACAGAGATGCAGCGAGGACTGAACGGAATGAAATTGGAAAGCAAGAGGGATCGCGGTACTTAGCTGTGGGTGGGTTGGGTGGAGAGCAGCTGCTGCCTGTGCACTCCATGCCCCAACCATTGCCACTCCCGTGTGAGCGACCAGCTGGGACGAGAGGGGGCGGATCAGGACTGAGAAAAGGGAGGAGGGCAACGAGGAAAGAGACCAGATCAAGTGACTTAAGTGAGAATGAAGAGTGGAGAAGGAAACGCTAGGATGATGCGAACATGAATGGACTGCTGCAGTGGCGCACTCAAGATACCTCGTACCAGCTGAACCAAGGACGTACCAAAGTTTTGAACCTGCTACCTTGGGGGAGGGATGTTTCTTGAGTGTGACTGAGGCCAGGAAGGACGGGAGTTTGATGTATGGTGCTAGCAGGGCGGCGGTTTTGTGCTGTTGCTGCTGCAGCGAGCAGGGCGAGAGTGCGGAGTGCATGCGAGGAAAAGGAGAAAGCGAGGCGAGCAAAGGGCGGAGGGGCACTCATCTGCGAAGCAGGACAGTCCGTTGGCGTTGGCGTTGACTGCAGGACAGTCCGCACCCAGCAGCACCCAGCAGTACCCACAGCAGCCGCGCTGGCGTTGACGGGACGAAGCATCGCGTCCACAGCAGCAGCGTACACGTTGACTGGAGCAGCAGCAGCTGGAGAGGGGAGGGGGGAGGGGTGGGGGGAGGGCATGGGTGAGGGGAAGGGGCGGAGAGGCAGCGGTAAGCAGGAGGAGGGCAGCAGAGGCGCACACATGCATGGGAGAAGAGAGTGCCAACGACAGCAACGCCTGCCGCACCACACCCAGGGGAGTACCTCAGCCTGAACCTTACCAGGGCCGAACCTGTAAAACGAGAATAGGTTTTGCACCTGCAATGCGAGGTTACCTTACCTGCTGGCCGAACCTGATACCTGAGCGTGGGGGGTAGCCCTTGCATGTGGTGGTGAGCAGGCGTGCAGCGAGAGGCGGTCGTGGCAGCGTGGGGTCGGGCGCATGCATGCAAACGACAAGGCGGTCAATGGTGAGAGGGTCCTTATCTCTGTTACAACACAACCCTGGAGATTTAATGCTGACAGCTCTTGCCACGCTGCACGCGAGATGACTCCAGGCCAGGATAGCGGAAACGCCTTGAGCGGGAACGCGTCACGTTGAGCAGGAACCAGTGCGTGATTCGAGGGGTGAACCTGCGAGACAAGGCACATACGAAACATAAAATTATGTTAATTTGTGTCAAAAATGGTCTGAGTAATCGGAAACGCGACTCTCGAGGCGGATCAGAGGAAATTGAGACGGCAGATCAGGGAGCAAACCCATGAGAGAAACAGAAGGAATATGGAGCTTGAAGGCTTGACTTTGAAACGTACCAAAGAGGCAGACACGGCGAAATCGTTCATTCTGAAAGCGAAATCGTTGATTCGGACGGCAAGATTTTTCTGCTGACGGCGAAATTGTTGCGTAGTTTCAATCCCGTCAGAATTGCCTCTTCCTGCGACGAATGTCTCCTTGCTGAAGGCGAAATCGTTGCTTCTGACGACGGCTGACGGCTGACGGCTTAAAGGGTTACTGACGGATAAAACCGCTGCTAATGGCTGGCCGGACAAACTCGCTTAGCTGACGGCCAAAAACTTGAAGACCGAGGAAATCGCCAATAATGACCGAAACTGCTGCTCATCACCGAAGTTACTGCTACGCAAAATTCCTTGCGGACGAAACCGGTGCTGAATGGTCAAGGCAAATTAATGCTGACTGTCGGCTTGCCGTTAATCCGCGACGCTGAAATTGACAGTGATTTATTATTCAGCTAATCGGCGATGTAGTAACGTTCATGCGGGAAACGAACAACGTAAAACGTTCATGTCGAAACGTTCTAAACAGGCGAATGACTGGGAATAGCGCATCAAATTGTCTTTGCTGAACGAAAAATGTGAGGGGAAACTTGGAGTGGCTCAGAACTTGTGAGACTGATTGGAGAGTAGTCTAGGAGGAGGTGCAGAGCAGCCTGGGAAAGAAAGGCTGAGAGTGACTGGAATTCGAAAATGGCTGCTGCACTTTCCTGGCTGGAATGCCCTTCGGTGATTCGGGTTGGGATTGAGAGAAGTCAGAGCGGCTCAGAAAGTTAGGAAAATGCGTCTATAATGGTGTTGGGTTTAGGGTTGAGGGTTTAGGGTTTAGAGAATTGTAAGGAAATTCCCTTTTCCTTACTTCGCGTCCCTGCTCAACGCGTACGTCACTGTAGCACCTCAGTCAGCACCGTTACCACTCACGACCATCGCATCATTCATTATCCCGCCCTCTTCGCACATCGCATCCCGACCTCACGGCTCGGCTGGTAACCCGCGCTCCAGGCCTACGCTTCGACACCTTCCCAACCTCAGCCCCAGGCTCGTCGCGCGACAACCACAGTCCATTACCGTTACCACTATTGTTTCGCTATATAATCCTTCGCTCATGCCTTCGCTCATTGTACTCTTTGCTTCGATAGTGCAATTCTCGTTCGTTCACTCAATTGCACTCGTAACACTTGGTAATCAGAGCCTACGATCTCATCTCGGACCGCATCCACACCTTCGCTTCCCACTATCTCAATTTTTGGGGGGGGTAGACGTCTCTCAGCGACACAGCACCGCCGCTCGTAGTGCTCTCTCGCAAGCACGCACGGCCACGACCGAGGCTCTCGCTGAGCTTGCCCGACACCCCCGCCATGGCCGACCTCAATCTCGCCACGTTGACGCAGGAGCAACTCGATCGTCTCGTGCGACAATTGGAGGATTCGGCGCTTGAAATCGCGACGCTCACGGCGGAACGTGACTCCGCTCGTCAACAGTCAACGGTGAATGCTCCGACAACATCCCATGCACCAACCAATGTCTCTGTACATTCGGAGGAGCCGATTATCATTTCATCCGGCACACCAACGCAACACAACAGCACGGGACAGCGCTCAGGCGCAGCCAGTGACGGCGCAGCCCAACCGATGCCCGGCATGGGAGGGAACAGGAGCACGCTAAGCCCACGGGAGCCCCGAGAAGCCCGTCGGCACGTGGAGTTTGCGACGACAAGTGGTGAAAACGCCATGATGGCCCCAATGCCACTCAAGCCGCAACGCCCGCCCTGCTTCGACCCAAGCCAACGCGGCGGCCCGACAGTTCAATCATGGGTCTTCACGATGAATGTGTTTTTCGACGCCAACTACGTCGAGTCGGACGCCGCCAAGATTCGGTATGCGGTTTCACTACTCAGGGGCCCCGCCATGAACTGGTGGCGAGTCATCGTGACGTCGCCACGCGCCTACGAGCCACCGTCGCACGAGGAAGGGCCCTCGGGTCCAGCTGTCACCTGGAGTTCGTTCTGCGAAACAGCCCAATACAGCACGTGGGATGCGTGGTGCGCAGGGCTTCGGGCGCGTTTTGAGCCGATCGCGGCTTCGATTTCGGCGCGTCAGAAACTGCGCACTTGGCGCCAGCTCGGGTCGGTTCAAGACTACACCAGCGGTTTTCTCGCACTTTGCGAACAGGTCGGCTACATGCACGAGGCGGAGCGGGTGGACCGTTACGTCGGAGGGCTGAAGCCGGACATATCGCACGAGATAATGCTACGCGGGCTATCGAATTTCAACGAAATCCTCGCGCTCGCCGAGAAAATCGATATCCTACGCCGACCGAGACCGGGGTCCTATTTCGGACATCGTCCTCGGGGACCGATCGAGCACGCCACTGTACATGCCGTCGCAACGAATGCAGCTGCCACGCCATTTAGAGGGCGCTGCTTTGCTTGCAACCGGCCGGGCCATCGCAAGAGCGAATGTCCAGAGGAGCTGAGGCGTCGAGGAGCAGAGCAGGGGAAGGAGTCTCGGAGGCAGGGAAACGCCAGCAGTCAGTAGAAGTTGGGCCAACTACTGACGAGACTGCCTGCTCGCCCAACCACACCGACCCTCACCGAGTCACAGTACCGATTCACGCCATCGATCGGGCTCGGATGAATAAGGAGGGTACAGCGACGGATTGCCCGGTACTGATCCACGGGAAAATACAGGGAGCAGCAGTGAAAATCTTCATTGACGGAGGGGCAAGTCACAGCTTAGTTAATACTGCAACCGCACGGAGATTACAGTTAATACTCAACCGATGTTTACCTGAGATAGATGCACGCTTAGTCGACGGCACGCCATTGGCCATACGAGAAAAAGTGGAGCGAGTAAAAGTCCGCTGCGGGGGAAACTTCGGATTTACACAGGAAATGCTCGCAAGGACGCTGGATGGGCACGACATTTTACTGGGACGTGATTGGTTGCGACGGTACAACCCACGGATCGACTGGACGACGGGGAGCTGCACAGTGCGAAGTAGCGGTAACTGGGTCGTCCTACCTCGCTGGCGGCCACCCGAATCTTCGACAGTCCAGGTCAACGCCATCACGATGAAACGGGCTGTCGCTGCTGGAGCCGACGTGTACGCAGTGGATATCGCAGTGGTAGAAAAAGACGAGCAGCAGAATGATTTAAAGAAACTGCTAGCAGCCGTACCGACCGAATTACAGACACTACTGAAACGGTTCCCGGGGATATTTCCGGATGATTTACCACAGGGACTGCCACCTCAGCGAGCGCACGACCACAGGATCGAGCTAGAACCGGGGGCACAGCCAACAGTACAGCGGCAATTTCGACTGACACAGCCCGAGCTCGACGAGTTAAGGAAGCAGTTAGATTACCTGTTAGAGAAGCAGTTTATTCGCCCAAGCTCGTCACCGTTCGCCGCACCCATACTGTTCACACCGAAAAAAGACGGAGGTTTTCGCATGTGCATCGACTACCGAGCGCTTAACCGAGTAACAGTCAAATCGCGATACCCCATCCCCCGCGCCGACGAACTGATTGACCAACTGCGAACAGCACGTGTCTTTTCAAAAATAGATTTACGGGGAGGTTACCATCAGATTCGGGTCGAACCATCGGACTGCGCAAAAACAGCATTTAGGACTAGGTACGAGTCATTCGAGTATACAGTAATGCCTTTCGGGTTGACGAACGCGCCTGCGACTTTTCAGATGACCATGAACGAGGCGTTTAGACCACTTTTAGATAAATGCGTGATCGTTTACCTCGACGATATCCTCGTTTACAGTCGGGGTAAGCAGCAACACTTAGCAGATCTTGAAGCAGTTTTTAAGGTTTTAGAAGAACATCGGCTGCTCACCAAGGGCTCCAAGTGCGAGTTTTTTAGGGATAGGCTAGAGTTTTTAGGTCACGTCATTTCCGAGGCTGGGGTTGAGATCGACCCAAAGAAGCTGGATACGGTAAAAGCGTGGCGCCCCCCGACAAACATCACGGAACTGCAGAGTTTTTTAGGGTTTGTTAATTACGTTCGACGGTTCGTGCCCGACATGGCACGTTTAACAGCCCCACTAACTGATTTACTGCGTAAGGGGGTCGCTTTTACGTGGGGGGAGAAAGAGCATGCTGCCTTCTCTGCCCTAAAAAACGTCCTCTGTTCACCACCCGTTCTACGTATCGCTGATCCCCACCGCCCTTTCGAAGTGGTTACCGACGCAAGTGACATCGCCATCGGAGCTGTACTGTTACAGGACTTCGGCAACGGCCTCCAACCCATCGCCTACGAATCACGCAAACTACATCCGCCTGAGCGAAATTACCCGATACACGACCGCGAAATGCTCGCGATCGTGCATGCATTCAAAGTTTGGCGCTGCTACTTGACTGGCGCAGACGTGACAGTACGGACAGACCACCGATCTCTACAGTACCTCCGCGCACAGCCCCACCTCAACCCACGACAGATTCGATGGCTCGATTTCCTCGAGTCGAATTTTCACTATACGGTCACATACAAAAAAGGAGCATCGAATATCGCCGACGCACTGACCCGCCCCACTGCCCAGATCCACGCGATACTACTCGCCCAGACCAGCCCACTGCTTACCGGCCTATTTACCCACGGATATCAAACAGACTCGTTCTTTACAGGAGGCAACTCACAGCAATTCGCAGCGGCAAAAGGAGTCTATTACGTAAAAACTGGAACCGACCGCATCTGGGTACCGGGATACACGTTACTGCGGGAACTACTGTTACAGGAAGCACACGACGGAGTTACCTCGGGACATTTCGGGGTAGAAAAAACACGGCAGCAGCTGCAGCGGTACTACTACTGGCCAGAAATGTTGACCGATGTGCAACGACACGTGGCATCGTGTCCCACTTGCCAGCTCATGAAGTCAAGCAGGAAGCGACCAGCGGGGCAATTACAACCCATCCCGCCTCCAGAGCGTGCTTGGCAGCAGGTGACGATGGACTTCGTCACGGGGTTACCAGCTGGGGCGAGTGGGAATGACGCGATCCTGGTCGTCGTCGATCGACTAACGAAAATGGCTCATTTCGCAGCATGCAGGAAATCCATCACAGCCGAAGAAACCGCCCGACTATTCATCTCCACCGTCGTACGACTGCACGGGATACCCGCGTCGATCATCAGCGACAGGGACACGAAATTTACCAGCAACTTCTGGCGGAACCTGTGGCAGCAGTTCGGCACGCGCTTACAGTTCAGTTCATCCTATCACCCCGAAACCGACGGACAGACGGAACGGACAAATCAGACCATGGAGCAGCTGATTCGAGCCACGTGCGACGACCCGAATACGTGGGAACAGCAGCTGCCACTTATCGAGTTCGCATACAATAACGCACCATCAGCCACGACGCAACAGTCGCCGTTCTATTTGAATTACGGACAGGACCCAACAGTACCCATGACACCGAATCCCGACAACCCAGTCCCACGAGCACAACAGTTCGCCGAGATTCTGCAAGCAGCACGGACCAGGGCAGCAGAAGCAATCAAAAAATCAAACATCATCGCTAAACGTAACGCCGATCGACATCGCAGACCTGTTACTTATCAGCCCGACGACCTCGTATTACTCGACACTCAGAATCTTCGCCTGCCCATCACTCCAAAACTTCGCCCCCGGTATTGTGGGCCATTCCGCATCAGCCACATGATCACACCCGTCACCGCCCACCTCCTCCTCCCTGCTGACTGGTACGTCAGCCCATCATTCCACGTCAGCCTACTTCGCCCTTACATCCCATCCACGAGCCAACTGCCACGAAATCGCCCAGCCAGCATGACACGTCCCCCAACCGAACCACTCATCACCCCTGAAAAAATCCTCAGCCACCGAGTCCGCGACCCTCGGGGAGCCCGAAGGATAGAGTTCCTAATTCGCTGGAAGGACCGAACGCCCACAGAAGACAACTGGGTCCCCCTGGATAAAATTGAGAACCACCCTGTCTTCCCCGAGTATCTGCGAAGCCGAAATTTCCGCGACGTCCACGCGCTCTCGTAAGAGGGGCCTCTTTGGGGAGGGGGGTAGTGTAAGGAAATTCCCTTTTCCTTACTTCGCGTCCCTGCTCAACGCGTACGTCACTGTAGCACCTCAGTCAGCACCGTTACCACTCACGACCATCGCATCATTCATTATCCCGCCCTCTTCGCACATCGCATCCCGACCTCACGGCTCGGCTGGTAACCCGTGCTCCGGGCCTACGCTTCGACACTTTCCCAACCTCAGCCCCAGGCTCGTCGCGCGACAATCACAGTCCATTACCGTTACCACTATTGTTTCGCTATATAATCCTTCGCTCATGCCTTCGCTCATTGTACTCTTTGCTTCGATAGTGCAATTCTCGTTCGTTCACTCAATTGCACTCGTAACAAGAATGAAACATGCCCAGAGACTTCAAATGCACAGTTCTGTTATTCAAACACCATTTCCATAAGAAAGATGTCTCCGAAGTACACAGCTAGGAAAACCGAAAATGTGGAAATTGAAGTGTACTGTGACAGGATCATCTCACTACATTCTGATTGTTAGACAACCAGACATGCAATTGTTAGTCTCCACTATTGACCCTACAGCTCATATACCTAGTAGTTCACTATGGCATGGTGCTTCGTCGTCGTATGTTGGCTGCATATCGACAGCTTTGAGCCAGATCGACTATCTCTTCGGATTCTGTTCTAGCTTCCATCGCAGCCACAGCAACTCGAACCTCCTCGTTAAATCGACTGATTACCGAGGCCACTTGAGTCCGAAGCTCATGAAGGTCCGCCGAACCTGAAGACAGTGCTACTGTGTTCTCAAGGTTGTCGTTGGTGTGAAGCGCAGAGGAGCTCCGGGTGCTGGCGCTGCTAGCTCTTGCCGTGCGAGTAGCAGCAAGCTTCCTGTGAAATGGAGGAGGAAGGGAACACGCAGAGGCAGATGCTCAGTGTAAGTGTGTGCAACTTGGTAGCTGAGTCAATCTTGCCAGTTTCCCAGATGGCTGAAGCCAGACCTCACACCTCGCAAAGGCACTGCACTCACCTGGCAAAGACGCTGTCTGTGTGCTTCTGCAGGCGGGCAGCGAGGTGGGAGAGCTCGAGCACGAGGCGGCAGATGCCGCGCACACTGCCCAGGAGGACTGCGGAGAGCTGCACTCACCTGGCGAACAGGCTGTCGGTGTGCTTCTGAAGGCGGGCCGCGAGGTGAGAGACTTCGAGCACGAGGCGGCAGGTGCGGCGCACACTGCTCAGGATGGCGGCGGAGGGGCGGTCCAGGAAGAGCGCCTTCAGTAGCGCCTGCTGGTAGCGCTCGTGGCAGGCAATCAGCTCGTCCAGATTCGTTGCACCCTGGAGAGAGAGATACAGCATGTAGAATAACAATTAAAGACACAAGCAAACAGAGCCGCGGAGGGGCGGTCCAGGAAGAGCGCCCTTAGTAAGGCTTGCTGGTAGCACTCGTGGCAGGCAATCAGCTCGTACAGATTCATTGCACTTTGGAGGAGAGGGGGGGGGAGAGACATGCAGGGAAGGGTAGGAGGAAAGAAAAAGGAGCTCGTATGTGTGATCAGGTGTGCCACTTTGAAGGACAGGTGGGGGATGCAGAATCACAAGGAAACAGAGACGCCAACCTCCGATAAGCATGGGTTAGCATGCCTCACCTTGGCCCCTTCCACCATCTCCTTCCAGCTTGTTTCGATCCTGAGAGCAGCAAACGTCTCGATCACACGCATGAACTGCGACATGCGTGCGAACACGCCCCGCACGCCCCTCACCGGCCCCACCAGTAGCTTCTCCTCCTCCCTCTCCTTCCACGCCTGCAACCCCCCTGTCACTCTCGCCCCCCCTTCACCACCACCACCATCACCTTCCAGACTTCCCCCACCAGCACCAGCAGCAGCAGCACCAGCAGTACCAGCACCAGCAGTACCAGCACCACCAGCAGCAAAGCCGTGTCCAATTCCTCCCGGGTCTGGTTTTCTTGCTTTGCTGCCCGCTCCAGCTGCCCGGGAACCCAAACCTCCAGCGAACCTGCCCGAAACCGCAGCAGTAATGGACTCCCTGACAACGGGCGGCAGAAGCCTGGAGGCTCGGGGCTTGAGGGCCAGCCAGGTGGAGGAGAGGGCACGACGGGTGCGCTGCAGGAGGAAGAGTGCGGTGAAGAGGCGTGCGTAGTGGTGCTGTGCGGTTGTGGTGATGACTGCGGTGAGAGGCGGTAGAATGCGGTACTCCAAGGTGAACACGTCCCAGCCAGATATGCCAGGGGTGCTGAGAGTAAGGGGGAAAGGAGGGTGGTTGGGGTGGTAATGGAGAGAAGGAGAGCAGGGAGAGGAGAGAAGGAGAGCAGGGAGAGGAGAGAAGGAGAGCAGGGAGAGGAGAGAAGGAGAGCAGGGAGAGGAGAGAAGGAGAGCAGGGAGAGGAGAGGAGGAGAGCAGGGAGAGGAGAGGAGGAGAGCAGGGAGAGGAGAGATTGAGAGCAGGGAGAGGAGAGAAGGAGAGCAGGGAGAGGAGAGAAGGAGAGCAGGGAGAGGAGAGAAGGAGAGCAGGGAGAGGAGAGAAGGAGAGCAGGGAGAGGAGAGAAGGAGAGCAGGGAGAGGAGAGAAGGAGAGAAGGGAGAGGAGAGAAGGAGAGCAGGGAGAGGAGAGAAGGAGAGCAGGGAGAGGAGAGAAGGAGAGCAGGGAGAGGAGAGAAGGAGAGCAGGGAGAGGAGAGAAGGAGAGCAGGGAGAGGAGAGAAGGAGAGCAGGGAGAGGAGAGAAGGAGAGCAGGGAGAGGAGAGAAGGAGAGCAGGGAGAGGAGAGAAGGAGAGCAGGGAGAGGAGAGAAGGAGAGCAGGGAGAGGAGAGAAGGAGAGCAGGGAGAGGAGAGAAGGAGAGCAGGGAGAGGAGAGAAGGAGAGCAGGGAGAGGAGAGAAGGAGAGCAGGGAGAGGAGAGAAGGAGAGCAGGGAGAGGAGAGAAGGAGAGCAGGGAGAGGAGAGAAGGAGAGCAGGGAGAGGAGAGAAGGAGAGCAGGGAGAGGAGAGAAGGAGAGCAGGGAGAGGAGAGAGAGCGGGAGAAGGGTTGAGAGAGAGAGAGCGGGAGGAGGGTTGGTGGGTGAATGCTGGGGGAGGAAGACAGTGAAAGGTGGTGGGGCCAACCGGTAAGCTGATAAACCATTGATCCCTTTCGGTGAGGACATGCACGTAAAGACTTTAAAAGGCTTGATTCGCTTACCTGTCGTTGACCAGCTTGACTTGCAGCGCATCAGCCAGGGCAGGTTCCTCCCCTGAGAATAACGATGCCAGCACAGCTCCATGGAGGGCACCTGGGAGGACATGGAAGGCATGGAAGGAGGGGATAAAGGATCGGGTAAGCGGTTTATTAAGTGGGGGTTGGAGGCTGACTTCTGAGGGTTGTGACAGAGTGTGACTAGTGAGAAAAGACAAGAGGGGATGGAGTGAAGAGAAGCAGAGCTGAGTATAAGTGAATGACTGTGATGAAATGAGTGAATCATAAGGCAGGCACGTGGAAGCACCTGAGAGGGCGATGGTGCTGACTTTGTTGACTGGCTTCTTGAGCTCACTGGACGCCTCATCTAGCAACACCTGCCATGACAGAGGGAGAGCACAGGAGGGGCAGAAGCACCTGAGAGGGCGATAATGCTTCTTGAGCTCGCTAGACGCGTCATCTAGCAACACCTGCCATGGCAGCGAAAGACCACAAGAGAAGTCCTTAGGCGCCTTAAAAGTGGTGCTGGTGCTTGAGCTCACTGGACGCTTCATCTATTTGACTTTTGAGTCGACTCAAAAGTCACTCCAATATGGTGCTTGAGCTCACTTTTGAGTCGAGTTGACTTTTGAGTCGACTCAAAAGCTCACTGGACGCTTCATCTAACAACACCTGCCATGACGGCAAGAGCAGCACAAGAGGTTCCCTTGAGCAACACCAACAGCACACTAATGCTGCGTCCACCTGACTTGGGATGAATGTACGTCGATCCAAACAGGAAGCAGCATTGCCAACGAGCGTTTGGTACAGGTATGAGGTTCAGACTTTTGGGTCGGGCTTAGTGTTCCTGCAACTTCCCTCACGGACCCGGGCGAAGATGCTGCATGACCCAACAGCGAACAAGCCCACCACGTGCACCAGCCGCGTGTCTCATAACACCCAACGCACACAGAAGCCTGCATGAACCAAGAGCGAAACTGACCTGGGCAAAGTGGCCGTTGGTGAGGAGTATGAAGCGCTTGATGAGAGCGCAGTGGTGCAGCAGATTGAACTGCCCCACCACCACCTGCACCAACCGCGTCTCCACCTGCGCTGATACCCTCTCCACCAGCCTCGGCACGTCCCGGAGCTCCAGCGAGGCTCGGGCGCCCCGAACCTCCCGCTCCACCTGCTTGGCTGCTTCGGGCCCGAGCCTGTCGCCGCAGCAGTGGGCGAGGAAGCGAATGGACTTACCAACGCGGAGTATGGTTTGTGCTAGGGAGAGAGGGATGAGACGCACAGGGACCATTGCCTCGTCCATCCTGTGGTGAGGCAATCAGGGGATGTGGAGCAGAGGTGCAGGGTAGGGAGAGATACAGTGAATGGACTTGCCAACGCGGAGTATGGTTTGTGCTAGGTCGAGCGGGATGAGACGCACAGGGACCATTGCCTCGTCCATCCTGGGATGAGGGGTTCAAAGGATGTGAAGAAGGGGTGGGGAGGAGGGAGAGAGGAAGCAAATGACTTGCCAACGAGGAAGATGTCATATGCTAGATCGAGAGAGATGAGACATTCAAGGACCAGTGCCTCTTCCTTTCCATGGCAGAAAGATGTAGGGAAGGAATCAAAAGAGGAAGAAGGGAAAGAGACGAGAGGAGGTGAAGGGAAGAGCGGAAAAAAAGAGCCCGATGTAAAGCTCGCGTCTCATATTTCTACCATCCAACCAAGTGTTAAACGGTTGGAATTTGGTAGCAGCAAAGTTTGTCGCAAAGCACACCAAAGCAAGGGGTGGTTAGGGAAAGTTGGCTGTCGCACACTTCCCGTGCACACCAAGCGTTCACAACTTCCAAAAATATGAGACTCTGAACTCAACGTTCACAGAAGGGGGAACTCGTTTTCCAACCAAACCAACCCACCCTGGTTTGTTTTGGCCTCGACTGTTTTGGTAGTTCGCTGTGCTTTTTTTCACCCACTCATCAAATATTTCGTTTTCGTTACCCAATCACAGTCGGGCAAACCCAACCAAGCGTTAAACGGTTGGAAATCTGAGACACGAGCTTTAACCTCACCCACGCTCTCTGCTCCGCGGCCTCTTTTCCCCACGCCCCCTTTCCCCTGAGTCCCTCACTCAAAAGAAAGACTTAAAGATCCGATCCCCACACTCACCAAAATCCCTCCTGCCAGAGGACGTCCTTGCTGGTCGCCACCGCACTGCACCGCACAAAAAACTCCTCGTTGCGGGCATCCACGTTCCCCAGCACGGCCCACTCCGCCACGCCCTGCACCAGCGGCCGCACCGCCTCCCCCAGCGCCGCCCCCAGCTGCTCGCGCTCGCCGCCCTGCGCTGCTCTCTTCCTCGCCTCCAGAGCGTCCAAGAAGGGACCGCCGCGCAAAGATCTGGAGGACACGGGGAGGGGGGTTGGGGTGTGCAGAGGGGATGCATAGAGAGATCGCGACATTCCACTCCGCCACGCCCTGCACCAGCGGCCGCACCGCCTCCCCCAGCGCCGCCCCCAGCTGCTCGCGCTCGCTGCCCTGCGCTGCTCTCTTCCTCGCCTCCAGAGCGTCCAAGAAGGGACCGCCGCGCAAAGATCTGGAGGACACGGGGAGGGGGGTTGGGGTGTGCAGAGGGGATGCATAGAGAGATCGCGACATTCCACTCCGCCACGCCCTGCACCAGCGGCCGCACTCCCTCCCCCATCGCTGCGCTCAACTGCTCGCGCTCATTGCCCTGCGCTGCTCTCTTCCTCGCCTCCACAGCATCCAAGAAGGGACCGCCGCGTAGCAATTTGGGGGGATGAAGGGTTGAGGTGTGCGGAAAGAGTGCAGAGAGGGTCTTGACAATCCACTCCGCCACGCCCTGCACCAGCGGCCGCACCGCATCCCCCAGCGCCGGCCCCAGCGCCAACGCGACTAAGTAGGGGCCGCATGCAAAGATCTGAGGGACATGGGGGGTTTGGGGTTGTGGGGTGAGGGTGGGAAGAGGGCGTAGAGGTCGCTCTTGACATCCGCTTTCTAGTACCTCACAGCACCTCACAGCACCTCACAGCACCTCACAGCACCTCACAGCACCTCACAGCACCTCACAGCAACTTTCAAGCACTCTAACAGCACATAATATTTTGTCTAACGTAACAACGACATTCATGCGTGCACCCACACACCCGTCGCTGCTGCCATGCACCCGTACATACACGCACACACCCGTGCCTGCACTCACGCACCTGTACCTACACGCATACACCCGTGCCTGCACAGACCTGCAGTCGTCAATGAAGCTGACAAGGCACTCCAAGTGCAAAAAGGGTTCATAACATCCACCTCCCAGCACCTCCCAGCACCCCCCAGCACCCGAGCGTGCAACCATACGCCCGTACATGCACCCACACACCCACCCACCTGCAGTCATCAACGAAGCAGACGAGGCACTCCAAGCGCAAGAACCACGGCGACAGGAACGCCAGCAGGTGCCTCAGCCGCAGATACTCCCCTCCCCGCTCCTGCCTCCCCCCCACAGCGGGTCCTCCCTCTCTTAGCCTCGGTGCTGCTCCCCCTGACCCATCCCTCCCCACCGTGCCTTCTTCTGAATCCCCCATCCGCAATGCCACACTCCCGCTCTCCGCAGCCTTTCTCTCCTCCTCCCCCTGCCGCTCCTGCCGCCACCGCTGCTGCTCCTGCCCTTCCCTGCGGTCCGATCCCCCTGCTGCGGGGAGCGGGGGGCTGGCGGAATGCGGAGCTGGCGGAAGGGCGGCGAGCGCGGGGGAGTGGCGGTGGACGTCGAGACACGCCAGCACGTCGCGGAACTGGCTTAGCGCCGTGCTGAGGGCCACGCAGAACGCCTGGCGCGAACAAGGGTGTGTGGGGTTGGGTCGAGAGTAGGGAGCGTGAGAGGCGGGGAAAGAAGTAAGGGGAGAGGGTGAGTGGACGGAAATCACAATTGCATCCAATTCCTCCGCACTCCTTTCCCCCCCTTTGAACCCCGTCCCTTTTCTTCCAGCTCCTCTCCACTTCACTCCCCACCATCCTCACCCGTCAACTCGTCCGTTCACCCACCATCTGATTCTTGCTCTTCAGCCCCTCCGCTGCTCCCTCCTCGTTCCCCACGCCCCTCTCCGCGAGCCTCCCCCTTCCCTCCTGCACCAACGTCCGGTGCCCTCGTCCCGTTCCTTCTTCCTTCACAGTTACTCTCTCCGCCCGTTCCGCTCTCTCTTCTTTCACTGTCACTCGTTCCGCTCGTCCCGCTCCGTGCTGCAGCCCCCCGCCAGCAGCGCTGCTAATCCTGCCCGAGTTGGATGTCGCCACTGCCTGAATGTAGGCTTGGATTTGCCGAACCATCACTCCGAGCCTGCTTAGTTGCATAGATTCAGCCCTGGGAGTAGCGCAGAGGAAAATGGGCGGACATAGGGGTCCGCGAGCAAGCTGAAGGACAAGGAGAGTGGGAGCAGGAGAGCAGCTGATGGAAATGGAGCTGAAAGACAAGGAGATTGAGCGATGAAGGACCTGAGTGAAGAGACAGGGAACGACGGCGAGGAAGTCGAGGCTCAACGTGAATCGTGCTACCAGAACGTCCTAGTAGGATACTGAACTAATTCCTGTACCAGGATCCTCTCTTGATTGCTGATGTTTCTCTCCCTGAAGCTGCCAGGAACCTGAATACTCACATGCGTATCTGCTGTATTCTCGTGCCCGGCACAAATCGCACGGATCGCGAGTCATCGTCAAATTTGAGGTAACGACCGTCGATTCCTTCGCACAGGATGAGAACGTCGCGAACGAGATCGGATTCCTGCACCACCTCGTCGCCGTGCGGCGCTGCGACGTCGTTATCTCCCGAAGATCGTTCGGTATCGGTTGTCGCATGTTTCCCTCGCGAATCCTGACGATCTCCGGCGACGTGTGCGACAGCCGCGTCAGTCGCAGGCGACCAATCTAACGGTTCTTGCTTCACATTGCCACTGTTACCAGATCCTAAAACGTAACTCCCTATTCCCGGCCTAGTACTACTCTGGGGGGTAGACGAAACTAATGCGCCTAACCTATGAGGCGTATTGCTTGAGGATGCACCAGGACCGGGATTCGAGGGCGTATGGCGAAATCCAGAAACGAGATCGAAGTCTACTTGGGAATCTGCGAAATTCCCGCCGCGTCCAGGCGTCACATTCTTCGGCAAACCATCCATGTTTCTAAGAACCTATATAGAAACGACGAAGTTAACGTGGTTACAGTCAGAACGTAAAACAATAAAGCTCAGATTCGAAAGTTAGAAATTAGACGACGGATCAGGAATCCGTGAAGGAGGAGTAAGACTGTTCCGTTCCGTTCTCACTGAGTGAGACCATGGATCCTGCTCCGTTCCGTCACTCCGTCATATTGTATCTGAAAAGGAATCGCCGCTTCGAAGTCATACAGAATGCACAACCCTCGTGCCTAGAGTCGGCGACATGCTGACCACGACGACCGCCTATGCTCTCGTGCCTGCACGGATTTCTGCACGCATTTCCCTTATGACTTATGAATCCCCTAAGCATTACCCCTGCACAGCTTTTCGTCGAAGATTTGGCTCTTGTTGGTCTGCCAACGCCTCGAGATCAGCGTGGCGTTTCCCGCGCATGGCTCGTGACTCCTGGGGAAAATTGCCTGACAATGTCGAGGAAATTTTATCACTGGTCAGACGAATTGTTGGAATTACCGGAACATACAAAGCTATACCTTAGACTACGTTTTATTCTAATGAGAATAATTTCGTGTTACCGTATCTTATGCTGACAGCACAGCGGGTCAGTAATAGCAAGGGGTCAAGCTAAAGAAAAGAAGAAAATATAATGATCAAGCAGGAGGGAAAAGACACACTATAATGTGCGAGTATTTTTCTTCCAGGCAGCGAGTTTTGGGTCTTCCTTCTGCTTCTGTCTGAAGAATCCCAGCAGCCCTCCAAGCTTCTTGGGCCCTCCATGCGATTCCTCAACAATATCGTGCAGATTCAGATAATCCATCACACCCTGCAGCACAGGAGATGGGGGATAGAGGGGGGGAAATAAAGGTCACACAAGACAATATTCAGACTAGGGCACGGATGAAAAACAGAGGAAGGTGACCCCGAAAACGCTCCCAGAAAAGGCACCAGAAACTTCAAAAACTCGCATCCGAATCCCTTTCAACTCAGCCCGCACCCCTCACCTGCAGGCCTGAATTTGCCACGTCCATAGGCGGGTGCTGCCATGGGTTCCCCTGCAGCGACAGCTTCTTCAGACTCGTCAGGTTCACAAACGAGATAGGCAGAATCTTAATGTAGTTCTCGCTGATATCCAGCTTCACCAGGCTCCTCAGGTTCCCAAGAGTTTCCGGAAGCTCCTTCAGGTGGTAGTGGTTCGCGCTGATGTTGAGCGACGTCAGCCTCTCCAGCCGCCCGATGCTCTCGGGAATGGACTGCAGCGAGTTGTAATGCACGTCCAGATCCGTCAGCTTCTCCAGATTCCCAATCCGCCGCGGCACATAAGTCAGCTGGTTCAGCGGCGCAGACAGCAGCTTCAGCTCCGACAGCTTGCAGATCGCCTCCGGAAGCCCAGTAAGGGAGTTGAACCCAAGTCTGAGCTCCTCTAGAGCCTCGCAGTGGCCGATGGACGTGGGGAGCTCCTCCAGGTAGTTGTGGTGCAGATCCAGCACTCGGAGTTTCGCCAGATGCCCGATGGACTCGGGCACCTCGACAAGTTTGTTGCAGGAAGCGTCGAGCACCGAGAGGCAGAAGAGATTTCCAATGGCCTGGGGGAGAACCACCAGGCCGTTGTTCGCCAGGCGAAGCTCCACGATCCAGTCTAAAAGCCCCACGGATTCGGGGAGGTACGCGAGCGGGGATTTGAAGTGGTGGCCCTGCAAGTCGAGCTCCTGGCGCCGGTCCTGCGCTGCCTCCTCCAGCACAGTGAGCAGCTTGGGGTCGATTTCGAGCCCGGCTGTTGCCTCTTCAATGGGCTTCAGGGACGCTGCAGGGAGGACGGGGAGGTGCGCGGTTGAGCAGGGGAGGTTTAGGAGGTAAGGACTTGTGGCCCATGTAGGTCAGATAGAGTTCGATCAATCAGGGACGCGCGGGAAGGAGACGTGCGAATTGAGCAGAAAAAGGTGTAATTAGGAACGCGTGTGTTCATGTAGGACAGACGAAGCTTGTTAAATAGGGGACGTGCGGATTAAGCAGGAAGGGTGTAAGTAGGGACGTGTGTGTTCATGTATGTCAGGCAAAGATCGATTGGGTAAGGGACGTGCGAATTAGGAAGGGGACTGCGGACCAGGAAGGGGACTGCGGACCAGGAAGGGGACTGCGGACCAGGAAGGGGACTGCGGACCAGGAAGGGGACTGCGGACCAGGAAGGAGACTGCGGACCAGGAAGGGGACTGCGGACCAGGAAGGGGACTACGGACCAGGAAGGGGACTGCGGACCAGGAAGGGGACTGCGGACCAGGAAGGGGACTGCGGACCAGGAAGGAGACTGCGGACCAGGAAGGGGACTGCGGACCAGGAAGGAGACTGCGGACCAGGAAGGAGACTGCGGACCAGGAAGGGGACTGCGGACCAGGAAGGAGACTGCGGACCAGGAAGGGGGCGTGCGGACCAGTGCGGATCAGGTACGGGAGATGTAGGCAAGACTGTGCGAGTCCAAGTAGTGGGTCCATGCATGTCATTTTCAATGTATGGATTCCATACACTAAAAATATAGACCATAACATATTTCCCCTGATAATGCACTTCACACACAAAAAAAAAAAATCTTCACGCTTTCACAAATCTTACGTGTTTCTGTGTCAAGCGTTTCCTGACGCTTCGTGCCCTTCTGCTTGCTGCTACTGATATCTCAATCGTTTGCTCCCACTCCTGATTTTAACCCGCCGCACGTTATCGCATTTCGTCTCGTCCTTACCACCCGCAATCTTCCCGAACCAGCCGACTTACATTGTGGCATGCTCGCGACTTTTGACATGGCGGTAGAATGCGATCCCTTTCCGTCCTTCCCCTTCCCGCCAGCGTTCGTTCTGGTCTCCGCGGCACCGCCCACGTCCTTTCCGAACGACACGGCACGCGCGGACGGCCCCGGGGGAGGGGAGAGGCTCCTCACGGCCCTCCGCGCCGGGGGGCTTCCGACGGTCGCCGCCGCGGGGCTCTCTGTGACGGCAGCGGCGAGCGTGGAGTCGGGGCTGGCGGATGTGACACTAACGGGCTTCGCAGCAGCGGCTTCAGCGGCAGGGGTTGAAACGGCGGTTGCTGCTCCCGCGGCTGCTGCGCCAGCTGCTGCTGCGACGACCGCTGTGGCAGCGACTGCGGCCGCAGCTGCTGCTGTGGATGCATCCTCGCCATTTCCACCATCAGTTGCAGTAGAAACCGCTTCAGCAGCGTTCAACCCGCCCGTCTCCTCACCAACCGTTACGCCTGAGAAATTCTCGACTTCCGCAGGCTCGGCGCAAGGTTCGGCAACAACACGTTCGGTACCTGCCGAGGCTACGAGGCTGGGAAGTCGGCCGGTGAGCACCGCTTCTTCCGCGAGCATCACCATCTTATCGTAGTGCCGGTACTTAGCCTCCAGATCCAACGTTGCTTGCGGCTTACGCTTCTTCATACTCGCTGCAGTGCGCATCACATCCTGCTTAAGAGCCACCAGCTGCTTGAAAAGAAACGCGTCGGCTCCGTCTGGCCGCGTCTCCGACACAAGCGCTTCCATTTGCGATACAAGGTGCTTGTCGACTGCTACGATTTCCTTAGCCGCGTTTTCCACGTCTTGCAGGGTGGGTCTTTCCCCGAGGCTATCCCGCACGGCTCGCATGTCTTGGACTAGGGCCAGCAAATGCGAACATTGGGCTGCAGAGTCTGTGGTTGGAGTATCTGTGGTTGCTGACGTGGCATCCTGCTCAACTTCTCCCGCGGAAACAACTGGTTGAATGTTAACGTCATTGACAGACATGGTGGGTAGGGGATTCAGAAAATCGTGAGTCGCGGAGAGGTGAAGCTGGTGGTTCGCTTCAGCGAAGCTAGCCCGACGGCTACTATGAGGAAATTATACTTCTCTTAATGTCAATGGTGCATATTCTTATTGAGATCGCGAAAGGGCCGCGTTCATTCAGCAACGAGCTTGAGAAACGAAGGCTAGGAGCTGGAGTCACCTGAAGCACAGTGTTTCAGGTGACACTGAAGAATGAAAACAACTCTAGGAATGAAAGACCGCCCTCGGTGTTGGATGAAGACCTCGGGCGAGGGTGAAAGGAGATGGTTCGATGCCCAAGAAAGATGCTGGAGAGGACGAGGGGCGAACTACAGTCTTCACTTTCCAAAGTGATTACCACGCTCAACGAAAAAAGAGCTCCAAAGTTTTACTCCAATCAGTGCTTCGTAAAACACATGCGTGGCTAGTCCCCGTGGCTAGTGGCGTTTTTTGCGCAACGCTTCTGCCAAAGATGACTCACCTGGCCTCCAATCCCATTCCAGCTCGGACGTGTGGCGCGCACTGATTAGACGATAAGGGCCTGTGACGTGATGATGTGGCCAGTGACACCACCTACTCGAAACAGCTACACATGCTCGGGTCTTAGCGGTCGATGCCAGGTCATGTCTCAGTCGCGGAGCATCCAAGCCTACTTTGTATATCCACCCTTTTGCTCGTTCCGGAGCAACCCAATATGACATCAAACTAGCCTTTCCATTGTACTGAATAATGCATGTCAATTGAAAGAGAAATGTAATAATAATAACCAACACGGGTCTTGATAACACTAATGATAAAAACATAAAACAAAAGCGCGAAAAATATTCATATATATCGTTTTCATAAGAGGCGCTAGGCTCAGTCACCAATTTCATGCGGATGATTACGCAAAAAACTCATGTGCAAATACATGAAACTCAGTAGACTCATGGTGTTACAAACCCAAGGGACTTAGCCTAGGATCAGCTCAGGGTTGATCGCATGTGATATTGCAACGAAAGAAGTGACCTAAAGTCAGAGTGAATACAAATGACTCAAGCAATTATAGCAAGGGTTGTCAAACACATATATTTGTATGCTATAGCACGTAGTGATGCATGCATAAAAAATAATATGTTTTTAGGGTTTGCATTTGTACCCACCACCTTTCCCAAAACCTTTCTGTTGCTAGTTACACTTAAAAAGGGCGTACATTGGTGTATATAGGAAACCAAAAGAACATAGGATTTCCTAACTAGCCAGTACGTTACATGATACTGCACTTGCTTGATTACTCTTGCTAGGTTGAGATCACTGCCTTGTTTGTTCGTTCTGTGCTCCAAGCGCTGCTCTCGCCACAAGGCCAGCATGACCTTGTTGTCTACGTACAGAACTGGAGGAGAACGAGGCGACTCTCCTAGGTCAGTCAGCAGGTAGGTGAGCCAGCGTAGCTCCTGTGCAGCCACGGCCCCCGCGTAGATCTCAGCCTCACAGCTAGAGCCGCGAACGGAAGACGGGCGGGTAGACCACCACGAAACAGAGCCGGAGCCAAGGCTGAAAGTGTAACCCTGTGACGACCGCTGCGTAGCCTGGTCGTCAGCCCAAGAAGCGTCTGCGTGACCTATGAGGACCACTGGACGTCGCCCTCCAAGCACTAGCCCCATGCCCGACGTACTGCACAAGTAGCGCAACACCCTCTTTGCTGCAACCATGTGCTCTAGTCGGTGTCTCCCAGGAGCAACATAGCGTGCCAAGATGCTAAGAGGGTATGCTAGGACAGGTCGTGTGCAGGTCATCAAGTACATGAGGCATCCAACAAGCTCTGGGTACGGGCCACTCGGCTCTACGGACTCATCCGAAGGCAGAGATGAGAGTGAGTGGCGAGTAGACAGAGGAGTGGCCTGAGGCGAGGAGTACGTGAAGTCGAAGCGCTGAAGGACCTGCTGCACCGTGTGTGAGTGAGTCAGGGTAATGGTGCGCTGTGCTCTGTCCCGGGTGATCTGCAAGCCAAGGTAGCTGCGCAGTTCACCCAGGTCTGTGCACGTGTGTCTCTTCTGCAGCTCGGACTTCACGTGGGCGAGTCCAGCAGTGGCAAAGACCAAGTCGTCGACGTACATGAGGATGTAGAACGGCGGCAAGGAGGTGGCGGTGCGCAGAAACAGCGACGGGTCGCCAGTAGACGGAGCAAACCCAAGAGTCGCAAGTGTAGTCCTCAGTGTGTCGTGCCACTCACGGGCCGCCTGGCGGAGACCGTAGACTGGCTGCCTGAGGCTCCACTGGGTACCAGGAGGAAACGACCCAGTGAAGCCAGGTGGGCGGCGCAGCCAGATCTCCTCGTGCAGGCTGCCCTGCAGGAAAGCTGTGCTGAAGTCAAGAGAGTGAAGCTCGTAGTCGCGCTGAGCGGCTATGTGCAGCAGCACCCGAAGAGTGGTCATCTTCGGGGTGGGAGAGAAGGTATGAAAGAAGTCAACTCCCTGCCGCTGACTGAACCCTCGAGCGACGTAACGCGCCTTGAAGACTTGCGGAGAACCCGGCGGCTGCTTCACCATGAAAATCCACATGCCACTGACGATGTTCGCCCCAGGTGGGGGAACCTCGTCGACGTAGGTGCCTGTGGACTTCCAGGAAGCCATCTCTGCGTCCATGGCTGACTGCCACTTTGAGGAGTAGGGACCCTCGATCGCCTCAGCGTACGATCGAGGAGTCGGGATATCTGGTGCATCCGGGTCTCCCTCAGGGGCAATCAGCGTGGACACGAGGTAAGGCAAAGCAGCAGCAAAACACTGGAACTCCTCCTGCCTGTCCTCAAGGACGTCCGTGCTAAGAGCACACTCACCCCCAACAGACAGAGGACAGACGGACGCAGACTCAGCAACAAGACTAGCAGCGTAGTCTAGACGACAACGAGCAGCAAATTCAACAAGCTCAGCAACTAAGGCAGACGCAGCAGTGGACTCAAAAGAAGGGTCAGTGACAACAGTAGCCAGGAGACGCGTGACAGTAGGATTGGCAGCATGAAGAGAGTCAGACTCAGGGTCAACAAGAGTAGGAAGAGAGGACTCTGGAGGAGACGGCAACGGGACACGCAGAGGAGCAGTGGAAGGACGCAGTGCCATCTGGTGTGTGCCAGGGACCGCAGGAGGACGCGGACGCGGAGCACGACCACTAGTGCGAGCAGCACGAACAAGCGACGCAGGACGAGACGCAGGCTCACGACGCTCAGCAAGACCGCCAGTAGGACCAGTGTAGGGAGAAGGAGCAGGCAGGGGGGAGGCAGGCTGTAACTGTGACCGCGACTGGACAGGCTGTGGACACGCTAAGGGAGGAGCGGGACCAGTAGAGGGCGGGAGACCAAGAACCTGCTCAAGGAGCGGAACGAAGTACGGCCTCGGCCGTGCAGCGCCTCCAGAACCAGCAGGGACAACACCAGTACCCCCAGCGGCAGCATCAGCGCCAGCAGCACCTCCAGCTCCAACAGCGCCAACTCCAGTACCCTCAGAAGCACCTGCGCCAGCAGAACCACCAGCGCCAACTCCAGCACCCTCAGAAGCACCAGCGCCAGCAGAACCACCAGCGCCAACTCCAGCACCCTCAGAAGCACCAGCGCTAGCAGAACCACCAGCGCCAACATCCCCAGCAGCTCCAGCTCCAGTAGCTCCAGTAGCACCTCCTGCAGGACGCCCAGTCACAACAGCTCCAGAACCGCCAGGACGAGCACCTACAGGACCGGCAGCAACAGTAGTACCTCCACCTCCAGTAGCATGGCTCCAGCTCCGGGCAAACCACTCGTGCAGCTCGTGCGGAGAGAGTAGCTCCCGCCTCGATGAAGCACCGCCAGAGGCCACACGAGTAGACCAAGCACCCCCAGGCTCCGCACCCCCAGGCTCAGCACCCCCAGGCTCAGTACCCCCAGACTCAGCACCCCAAGGCTCAGCACCCCATGACTCAGCACCCCCAGGCTCAGCAAGCCGAGACTCAGCACCCCCAGGCTCCGCACCCCCAGACTCGGCACTAGCACTCGCAGCGCCCCGAGCAGCACCAAAGTCAACAGCTACCTTGATAGGCTCAACTGTGTCTACCTGGGACACACCTGACGGGGCAGGACCCTAAGGGGGGAGGGGGTCTACCGGGTGAGGACCTGGCGCAAGGAAGAGCGGCGGCGGGGGGAGGGGCACAGTGCGGTAGGGGAAGAGACGGTAGTAAGGCACCGACTCGTCAAAGGTGACGTCCTGGGAGCACAGAACAAGGCGTGAGGTGGGGTGGTAAAATTGCCAACCAGGCGCGTCAGGGGGGAAGCCAAGGAAGACGTAGGGAACAGCACGGGGGGACAGCTTGTCCACAGACAAGTCGCGGACAAACGCCCGAGATCCCCAGACCCGAAACGCAGACGCATCGCCAACCTTCCCCGTCCACCGCAAGGTGGGGGAGGTCTTTGGCAAGGAGACCCGGGGCTGAAGGTTGAGCTGATGCCCCGCGTACTGAACCGCAAACGGCCACAGAAAATGGGGAGCAGCCGCATGGATCATGGACGTACGAGCGACGTCCATGACCATGCCAATGCGGCGCTCAGCAATCCCATTTTGCTGTGGAGAGGCCGGAAGCGTGAAGGTCTGGCGGATGCCCTGTGTACGACAGAAGGCTCCCAGACGGGCAGAGGAAAACTCCCCGCCTCTGTCAGAGTGCAGACGCAGAACAGGAAAAGTCCGAGCCGAAACTCTCTCTGAGCTGGAGACGAGCTGCGTGGATCCAGTCGATCAACACCT